TCCACCCCTTCATGCCCTTCCTCACCGAGGAGCTATGGCAGCGTCTCCCCCGCCGCCAAGGCGACTCCACCCCCTCCATCACCATCGCACCTTTCCCACAGTACAAGCCCGAATTTGAAGACGAGACCGCAAACGCCGAATACGAGCTCCTCGTTGACAGCGCAAAGGGTCTCCGTTCCCTGACCGCCGAATACGCTATCAAGGAAGGCGCATCTACCTACATCAAGTCCCTGGACGACGCCACACACGCCATTCTCTCAACACCCACCTCCCTCCCCTCCATCCGCTCTCTCGCCGGCAAAACCGTCGCAGACATCAAGATCCTATCTCCCACCGACTCCATCCCCTCCGGCTGCGCCGTCTACACAATCGGCACATCCGCGACCGCGTACCTCGACGTCAAGGGCCGCATTGAGCTCGACAAGGAGATCACCAAGGCCCAAGACCGCCTCGTTAAAGCCAACGAGACGATTACGCGCCAGAAGAAGATTATGGACGATGAGTGGGAGCAGAAGGTTAGTGATGCGGTCAAGGAGCAGGAGAAGGAGAAGCTGAGGACTGCGGAGTTGGAGGCCAGGAATTGGGAGGCGAGTATTGAACAGTTTCAGAAGATGAAGATTGAGTAGATGGTGTGTGTTTGTTAGAGGGAGGACATGTGATTTCGATGGAGATGTATTAGCTTAGAAACGATCACTACGACGTAAAGTAAAAGTGCCAATGGATGAATGCGGATTCGTGACTTGGACAAATTGGAATGTTATACATTGGCTGTATGGTATCTTCGTGCAACCACGCATATCTTCTGTTTCGGACCCTTCGCTTGCCGTCTCTTTTTCTCCTATCTTACTATGGTGCATTCCTTCCGACTTCCTATCGTAGCACGAACCTAGAATGAACTCGATAGGTATACATATGATGAAACGAACGCCTCGAATCCAAACCCATAGCGTGCTCCTTCCTTCGTCTCCACCCCAGTTTCCTCTCTCCTCATCTCCTCATCTACCCATCTACGAAACAGCCTTGACCTCCAACGCACCATTAGCACTCTCCTTAACCACCTGCGCGTCTCCACCAGCACCCGCACTACTCTCGTTCTTGACCATAGTAGGCATACTGACACTCCTGCCCTCGCCAAGCACCTCAGGCCTCCACCTAACCAGCAATTTCTGCGCACTAGGTTTCGCCCTCTCGTTCTCCGTCCACATCTCAGCCAGGATATCGACGACGATCTTACGGACAGGCGGACGGAACATATACAGGTAGTGGAGTGTGTTACACGCTAGATCGATGCGCTCGGGGTCTTCTGCCATCTTCTTGAGGCGCACGAGGATGCTGTAGTCGATGGCGGGGATCTCGGAAAGGAAGCGGATGATTATCTTGTCGGTATGTTCAATGTATGGTAGGATGCCGTCGATGAGGCGGAGGGCGCAGCGGTGGTAGTTGCCTGGTGGCTTTGGTGATGTGTGGTGGTTGGAAGAACCGTTTGTGTCGATATCTTCGACGGACTCGGCGAGGACCATGTCGTTGTACCATTCTTCGTTGAGCCATGAGATGGCAACGTCGATGCGCGACTTCCAGTTGTACAGTATGTATTGGTAGAGACCGTCCCTTACCGCATCGCTGATGTGCATATTGCCCTTGGCGTTCTTGACGGCGTATTCATCTTTGATACCTTCTTCCGGGTCGTCTAGGCCAGCGCTGGCTCGTGTAGCTAACCGAGAGAGTATAGTAACCCAGGCGTCTCTGTTGTAGTCTGTGGCCGCAAGTCGGTTGAAGCCGCCTTTAGCGACTTTGCTCTTCTGCGTCTCATCTACACTGCTCAGCATGCCGAAGGCTCGATGTACGGTCATGTCACCGTACTTCTGAACATCCTGTTCTGACAACGGAGGTGCCTCAGGCAGCTTGTAGGGTGCTAACGCGGTTGACGGTCCGCCTTGTGAGGGGAAGGGATTCGAGGGGATGCCATCGAGCTTGTTGATGAGCTGTTCAGCATCTTCGGGTTCGAAGTCAGGCTCGTATTCCTCTTCGTCTTCTGCGGCGGCGGTCGGCGCGGGTTGTACAGGGCGACTTGGTGCGGTCTGTTTGAGTGTCTGGTAACGAGCGCGAACGGCCTATATGAAATTAGCACGGTAACGGCTGACACGTCCAATACGGCTCTAGAGCGTACAGAGCAACATGGGGTGTAGGAATCAGACAGGGATCATCACATACGTTGATGGCTTGTTCGAGCTTTTGCGGGTTCACAGACTGCAGAACAGGCACGACTATCCTGAGCAATTGCTCGGGATCTCTGAAGTTTTGTACATCAAAGTTCGCAGTGCTACCCTCAGCATTCAGTGTGTATAGTTGTCGCCAGCTCACTTCACCAGGCGGTAGCGGTTGGACGGATGGTGTGCGACTTGGAGGTTCAGCGACTAAGCGTTGCCTCTTTGCCGGGTCAAGACCATCAGTGGGCTCAACCGGTGCTGGACGTTTACGGTTAGATTCATCGAACACTTCAACCCGTGTACGATGCATGCGTTCGAGGAACTGCTGTATCCGTCCGTTGACGGGGTTATCTGGGGCGTTTCTACGTTTATGAGCATGAGCAGTACTATCATGTAGCAAGGCAGACATACCTCTTTATGATGTTCACAAGCAATGCCCTTGTTGTACGCTCAATCGACTTCATGATGACCTTGTTCTTGGGCGTCATGGGCGAATTGGCGAGCTTGAGAGGGTTGAAATTGAAGACACTGTTCAGGATCTTATTTACAACATTTGGGCGGCGGTGGATTAACATGCCCAAGCTGTTGAGTGTCGCAGTCACAAGCAAGCCGTCACTAGTCTCTGTTAGAGGCGTCCCAGCAGTCTGCGACTGTCTATCTAACCTGTGATCTCCGTGTATGATGTCCAGCAACCTGTCCAACAGCCCGTGTCCTTCGGCCTCGAGGCTTGCGTATGGTATGAGGGGGTGGTCGCGAGATACGAGGGAGAGGGAGATGTCGTTCGGATCGGCGCGCTGCGAGGGATCAGATGGCTGTTTATACGTTGGATAGAGTGTAGTATTTACCCTAGGGTCCGTAACGCCTGGTGTCTGCACCAGGACGACTTGCTGGAGGAACTTGACGCAACATATCCGCACACCGGGCGCAGCTGCGTCCATTCGTCGCAAGATGTTGGATTTGATGCCGGCCATGAGCTGCCATTTCTGCGCATCGCTGGCGTCGGAGACACTGACACATGCAAGTATAAGAACGGGTTCGTGTAACTGCAATCATGGGCATCTGGCAAGGGGACCTCAAGATGCACATGGCATATTTGACATGGGGACTTCTATCTGATGCCTGGGGTGTCACTTACATGTGTTTGTAGACAAGCGGGTACACGCTGGCGGCGGCCTGGATGGCGCTCTTGATGACGCTCTTGTCTTCAACATTGTCGAGGTAGGCTTTCAGGGTCGCCAGCACAGAGGGCGCGCTGTTCTGCTTGACGTCTTGTGGCCATGTTGGCGACGCAAAAGCCTCGGCTAGAAAGTCGGCACCCCATCGCTGTATCTCGATGCTCTGGTCTTCACTGTAGCCGATGATTGGGAGCACGCCCGGTATGATGGTAGGATAGTATCTACCGTCGCCTAACGCGAGCGACCGGGCGGACTCCATCTGCTGTATCGTTTGCGAACTCATGGCGATGGCTGATGGCGAGTGCACAAGAGACGAGCTCTGTTTCTTCGAAAGGGTGAAGAGATATGACGCTGCTTCACGCGCGCAACGCAGTCAGACTAAGAACGCGACAAAGCCCGGTATCCGACGTCAAGGGCGCTCCCATTCCCAGCAAAGCTAATAATTAAAGAGGCGTAGAGAGCGTGGAGAAGGGAACGGGGTTTGCGCGACTGGTGTTGTTGACTACAGCTGCGGGTGAGGTGAGTGACGCGGAGTGTTCGCGGCAGTGCCATGATGATCTACGCCTGGCCGCCAAGCCCGTCTAGCGTGGTGGAAGTTCACCACCGCGGCGAGACCTCTGCGATTCCCCGCAAAGCAGTGAGAGTCTTAGCACGCCAACATGGGATAGTGAGTTGCATTGCGCATACACTTGGAGGGTTTATGCTAACTTCGATAGCAAACCCTTCCGCTCGACCTACTATGACGACCGCATGCGGGCATCGCCGGCCCTGCTGCGAACCCGCGCGCCGTACCTGATCAAAAACACCATCACCGGCTTCGCTATTTGCACCCTGGTCATTGGCATCTGTATGGCTCGCGTCCTCTCTGCCTAGAGTGCGACTAATATCACATAGACACATACACCATCAATGCCATCTCACAGGATGAGTTTGAGGATGTCATCGTACCGGATAAGCCTCTAGACCGAACCGCACAGCCTCTGGGCACCACCCAAGCACTCCAGCAGGCTGTCGAAGCGCGCAAGTAGCGAAAGACTCGACCTTGTATATTGGTGTATAAGAGTATATGGGCATTGGGCTGGCGCTATAGGATCATTCAGGGAATACCACTTTTTCATCATCTGATCTTGTTCGGCCCACAGAGTTGTGTTGAATTGGTCTGGTATTCGATCGCAGTCATTCGCAGCGATCAGATCACTGGTCGTGTTCTGTGCCTTGAACATGCACTCGCCTCTCTCTACTTGATGCTCACGACTCATGGGTATACGGTTGTGTTCATTGAGCCCGCCTTAGCTCCGGATTCTTCTCGTACCCTGGCCGTTTCCCAAGATCACTGTCGCCTGACCTTGGCGAACTTGAAGTTCGGTATACCGCTATGCCAATCTGGTTCAGCCAATAGTAGGTTCTCTACTACAGCGTCAGTTTACGTACCATGTATTCGCAGCCTACGAGCCTCATGGTTTCAGTCATCACTTAGTGCAGCGTGACCATCGAAAGGTGGCAGCGTAAAGAGCGGTGTCATCCATAAATTAGCTGTGCGCCTGGGTATTTCATCTGTATAATTTTCCTCAGATACATACTAAATTTTGTCGGTCCATCTGACATCCCATCACTAGCTATGGCTGCTCTTTCCACCACCCTCGTCGACTCTGTTCGACTCAGCGCAAGTACCACCAGCAGCACTACCACCAACGAAGCCGATTTGAAGACCTCCACCCGGGTCCAACGAAAAGACAAGTCGTCTGTTAGGCGCTGGTTCAGCTTCGTTCGCAAAGTTGTCTCCTCCCACAATACACGGAAGCAGTCAGAGTGTTCGACATGCGGAAAGAAATCTGAGGAGTCTCTTGTTCAAGCCTCCCATGCTCAAACGTCGTCCATAATCGCGATCACTCCCTCTAGTGTTCACAAGGAGGACATCGATGCCCCGACGAAGGTCGAACCCACTCCCTTTTTGAGGCCCGTTGCGCGGTCCACATCCGTTCGCTGCTCGGCTTCCGCCCCTGCCTTCGCACGATTTTATCTTGAGGCAATCTCTGAAGAAGCAACTGTGTCGGCGATAGATTCGCCGCAGACCGTCGAGCCCGCCAACGTCGAAGACTCCATACCGCCCGAGCCGGTAAAGGCCCAAAGTAGCCGCGGCCCTCGCAAGCCGATCATGATCACCCCCGAGATGATCAAGAAAATCGAGAGGGACAACAAGAGGCGCCAGCGACCTTATGTCCGAGAGGCTGAGGTGAAGAAGAACAGCAGGGGAGCTGTTACCTCAACGTCTGGTGCTAAGGGCGTTCGCGCCAACCCGATGAGGTGGTCGCAAGACTAAGGAAAAGATGAGGGTCAGCGGAAAAAATGGTATCAGGGTATCTGTCCCATATGGGCTTAGGAAATGTGCATTTTCAAAGTCATCGCGATGGTGTGACCTAAAGACATTTCCTGCATCCTGGGTCGTCACTGGCACATAGCAAGACTTGCGAGAAGTTTCACACTACTTCTTCGTTTCATACAACGCTTGAAACCATTACGCGATGTCCTTGAGTGCGTTGCACTTCACTTATGACATCTCTTAGTCTTCTACACGCGCAGACATTTTACACCCTCTTTGATCAATGCCGATGCTTGAAGTCCCGCTTAAAATCCGAAACAAATCTAGAACAGTTCAAAACTCCCGTGCAACACATGCTTTGTTTATAAGATTGTGCGCGACCTTTCCCGACTATCACATTAATTTCCATGGTAGAACGCTTTCCAATACCATACTCAAGCGGTTACCACGTCACCCAACCTTTCAACTGTTCCACATCCCATATTAGTAAGCTCAAACCTGTCCATACAGCGCGTCCCTATCGTATACTGCCCGAACGACATGCCTTCCTCGAGGCTCAAACAGAGACTTTCAGTAACTATGGCGCCCATACAGTGCAATTTCGCCCTTCAGTAACGGCGGGCCAAACAAATTTTAGGCACAGCCATGATTTCTCCAGAGAACATGCTCAAATAGTTTCCATGTGACAAGATCGCCAAATCTACACTTCCCATAAAATTGATTCTGTCCCCTTATTAATCTCCCGTCCTATCCTTTCATCTACCCATCCAAACTACATCCACACAAAACGCAAACATGTCCAGAAGAAAGTACGACGTGTCCGCGCCAATTCCCCCGTCTCCCCATCCCTCCTCTTCGCCGTACCACTCCGCTTCACCACATCAATAAAGCGCAAATCTGCCATCGACGAAGACATCGAGGCGCACCGACGTGTCGTCAAAGCCGCGAAAAGGGAGGAAGTTCCAGACACTGCATACTACGCTGACGACGAACATGACGAGCATGAAAACAGTGAAGATGGTCAAGTTACAAGACACATTTTTCCTTATCTTGGCAAGGCCAGGAAGAAGGAGGGTACGATGTGCAAGCTGCCGGAGGGTAGACAAGAGAAGATGGCACAACCCTGGGAATACTGGTATCCTGCAGTACCGCTAGAGGGAAAGCGAGAGAGAAGGGAACAGCCCTGGGATCACGACTACCTCGCATTTCCCGAGAACTATTGGAATTTTCGGCATCCTGTTTTTGCGGAACGGCCGTGGGAGACGGCATGTCCTGTGCATAAGACGGCTGAAGAGGATTCGGAGGGGGCTTCGGAGTTGGGAAAATTTGGATGGTAGTGTGATCAACGATGTTGAATAGCTACTAGAGATGTCGTCGGAATAGGAATATTATGTCATACCACACCACCATCTATCTAATTACCCCCTAAACCATCTCCTTATCCCCCACCCCCTGCTTCTCCACACCATCTACCGTCTCCTCCCTTTCCTCCTTCCCACCTTTGACCCTAAACCCCACACCAGGCACCCTACTCCTCAATGCCAAACTACTACAAACCACCGACACACTACTCAACGCCATCGCCAAACTAGCCCAAACAGGATCAAGTCTAATATGTTTCTTGCCCGTATCTTCCATCGCCATACCGCCTTCCATCCCAACGCCGTTATGATGCATATCCATCTGCTTGCTGCCGGTGGTAATGGGGAATAAGACGCCAGCGGCGATGGGCATGGCGACGAGGTTGTAGATAAGCGCCCATCCGAAGTTGAAGTATACCCGGCGGAAGACTACGCGGGATAGGTCGAGAAGCGTGAGGATGGTCGTTAGGCGGGAGTTGATGAGGATGAATGAGGAAGATGACAAGGCGATGTCGGAACCAGAGCCAATTGCTATGCTGAGATCGGCGGTGGAGAGTGCGGGTGCGTCGTTGATGCCGTCACCTACCATGGCAACAGTTGCGCGTTTTTGCTTCTTCTGTCTGCGAGATAGGAAGGGGATGTTGAACACAGATTTGTGCGGCTTGGTGAGTGTCTGCTGGAGGTACTTAATCTTCTCGGCTTTCTGGTCAGGAAGGACGCCAGCTATGATGTTGGAAGTTGGGATTCCGACTTGTACGCCTACAACATTGGCCGTGGTAGGGTTGTCGCCGGATAGCATCCAAACGTCTATACCGCGCGCTTGCAGGGCTGAAATGACGCCTGGTGCTTCAGGGCGGAGCGGATCGGCGATGGAGAAGGTACATGCGAGTCGCCAAGATGACGCAGGTTGAATTTCAGTGACGGCGAGTGACAGGGCCTCCGAGGTATTGGATGGCTCGGAACGCTCTGCCGCACCTTGCTCGCCATTTTGCGGTAGGAACAAGGCGACTAAAGCGACCGAATCTCCCTGCGACTTCCACTTCTGCAGTGACAACGCATCGTCGGCGAGGATAGGGACGTTGTGGTCAGCCATGAAGCTTTCATTACCAATGATCGCGGTAAAGTCTTGTCCATCGACCCTAAAGGTACCCTTCAGACCCTTGCCAGGCACCTCGTCCACGTTGACTGCTGTGGGTGTGTCGTGAACCTCCCTGTTACAGAACGAGACAAGCGCTCGAGCGATAGGATGATTGCTGTTCTCTTCCAACGCCTTGACAACACCCAACACAAGTGCAGCGTTCTGGTAGTTAGAGAACTTGTGATTCGTTACTGCTGGATCGCCACCCTGTGTCAAGGTGCCAGTCTTGTCGAAGACGATGCAGTCGAGTGAGCTGGCTTCTTGGAAAGCTTCACCACCACCCCGGACAAGGATACCATGTTTGGCGGCCAGACCACCTCCGACGAAGAGAGCAGTTGGCGCGGCTAGACCTATACCGCAGGGACAGGCAATAACGAATACGGCTATGGCGAAGCGAAGAGACCAGAGCTCCCAGCCGCCAGCGCCTTCATTCTTCCAATCGCTTGGAATAGCACCCGTGGTGCCGAGGATGAGCCAGACAATCCAGGTGAGAATAGCGACGGCAATGACGAAAGGTACGAAATGCGAAGTGATAGTATCAGCGACGCGTTCGACGGGTGCGCGACGCGACTGTCCTTCTCGCACAGCATTGATGATCTGATCCAACATGGAAGTACCCGATACTGTCGTGACCCTGATCTTGACCGATGAACCTTTGTTCACTGTACCGGAGAACACAGTATCACCCTCTATCTTCTTGACCGGACGCGACTCGCCAGTCAAGCTTGATTCATCAAAGTTTGAGCTGCCTTCGATGATGTCTCCATCGAACGGTGGCGAAGCGCCATTATGGACTCTAACGACATCACCGACCTCAAGAAGATCAGTAGCGATCTTGGTGTCACCTTTCTCTGCGTCGACGAGCAAAGCTTCATTTGGTCGAAGCTTTCCAAGCGAGGTGACAGCATCGCCAGTCTTAGCTTTGCTGTAAGCTTCCAAGAACCGACCGATCAGTAAGAACATGGTTAGGAAGACTACTGCATCGAAGTAAGAGTCGTTCATGGAACCAGAAGACTTCTTCGTTGCAGCTAGGATGAGCTCTACAATCGATGCTAGGTATGCGATTGTCGTACCGAGCGAGATGAGCATGTTCATGCTACCGAAACGTGTAAAGCGGTGCAGATACGGGGTTCGGCTTCCTGGTCGCCACATCGATCTCAGCTCTTTTAGTGCGCGTCGGTGGAATGTATCGGCGGCGAAGAAATAGATAGGTGTAGCGAGGATGAAGAGCGCCCAGCTTAGTCGAGTGACGTTGCCGGCCCACATCGTGCCCATGAGGTATTTGCGTATAGGGTTCTTAGAGCTAATCAAGCTCATGAAGACTATGCCGAGGACAAACGTGGGAATCGCGACAATGATGCATAGAATGAGGCGGAACAGAATACGCGTCCGCTCTTGTGCGTGCATCTGACGCGCGCGCTCTTCAAGTGTCGGAGGGTGGAAAACCGAAGGCTGGAACGCTGGGTTGAGACTTTCGATCATCGAAAAGATCTTTCGGACCGTGAAGCAAGGAGGGTCGGGTACATATCTGATATGCAGAATGGGTTGCTCGAACGACAGTGATGGATCGTCGATCGCAAAACTGCGCTCGATCGCAAACGCTTCATGCAATCCTCGGGTGATGTTGTCTGGGCAATGGTGGCAGAACATACCGTCTATGCGAATCGCGACGGAACGCTCGATGGTGTCGGTCACTGTGACCCCTTCTTGAACAACTTGATCGAGAGTGGCGGTGTACCCTACGTCCTCGATACTTTCCTTGATCTCTGGCAGATGTTCCTTACCTCTGAAGATGATGGTCGCACTGTTCGAGACAAGGTTGATATCAACCTTTTCAATCCAAGTGAGGGGCCGTAGCGCTTGATCGACGTTTCCGACACAAGCGGAGCATGTCAGGCCTCCGAGAGAATACGTTGCGCGCCACCTCTCGCTCTGTTGCTTCGATACTGCCATAGCTCCTGACAATGTAGTCTGCACCTCCTCTAGCTTCTCCACTGCGACATCAAATCCACAATCTTCGATCGTCTCGACAAGCTCCTCGCACTTCTCTTTGCCACTGAAGACTATCACTCCGCTGTTGGTCAAGAGGTTGATATTGACTGACTGAACCCAGGGGTGCTCCTGGACCGCGTGGGTAATGGCAGAGACGCATGAGCTGCACGTCATGCCGGTAATAGACAGCGTTGCTTTGTAGAGTTGGGGAGCTGTAGGTGAGTGGACAGCAACGAAAGCCTCGGACGAAGGCGACTTTGGTTCGGGCGACGAGAAGCCATCGGAGCTACCTCTGGGTGAAGTCGTGACGATAGGCGCAGGCTTGAATCGCAGCACCTCATCGCCGTGCAAGCTAACTCCACCACCTTCTCTCTTGCACTGCTCGCACTGAGTCAGGTGAGTTTCTTTCTTCTTCATGTCGTCGTGTGAACCTTCAAGGTCGGCAGAAGGATGTAACCAGTGGTTGACGGCGCGTTCAAAGCTGGTGTGCCACTCCTTGCTCTTACCCTCGGGGTTCTTAACCTCGATCGGACTCCGAACGGCCTTGGTGTCTTGAAACACACTGTGTATCTCGAATCCCGTAGCTTCTAGTGAGACTGTGATATCGTCAAGGTTGAGAGAAGCGGCGTGGCGTACAACCACTGAATGTGAAACGATGGAGACGAATACGTCTTGTGGCGGCGGTGAGAGCGCGCTGAGAGAGGCTTGGATACCGTCCACACATGACGGGCAGTGCAGATTAGAAATAAAACACGTCGTGGTCGTGGTGCTGTTCACCGCAGGATCGCGCAATCTGGGTAACGGTGCAGCGGAAGACATGGTGACTGGTTCGCGTTCGGGGTGACTTGGCTGTGTAATATCGACAATGTCGGTGCTCCTCAATCAATCGGGTAGATGACTCTGTTCCTCAGGCGATGATATAGATGGCAGTGGGCGCTGGTCCCGGGGTGGTAGCCAACGGCTGTCGTCGCGCAATCAAAGCAATCAAGGAAGCGACTGGGCGTGGACGAAGGAAGGAACGTTTAAGGAAACACAACACGATACTGGAACCTTCACATATAAGTGAAAACCAAATTTTCGAGCCTTTTCTGCGTGATATGTCATTACTACCTATATTTCTGATTCATCGTCCAAAAGCGTGACAGTGGCGACCGCACAAGTCGCGCAGTCGCCACGAGTGAGGTCGAGTGGGTCTCCGCACAAACTGCGCAGTTGCAGCCCACCCGTCTGACTCGCCGGGCCGCATCGTTGGCGAATAAGCCCTTGCACAAACATGTGCATGCAGCATTGCGTGTAGAAGGAATCTCACTCCAGGCACTCTTCTTTGTCCGCGTGCTTGTTGCGCTTATGCTACTCTGGCGTCAGTGATCTGCAGCCACGTGAAAACAAGCTTCTCGCTTGCCCCGGATTTGTCCACTTTTGGCTCCCGACATGCATACGTCTTCATCAAGATAAATGGATAGCAATCTGGAAATACCGACAGCCCTATGCAGTGTATCACGCGGAAAGGCGGCATCGTGATTGCGGAGGACCAATACCGGTGGTGGTCATCTAGAACGGGAGTTGTGCGTCACGCGAAATTGGTTCGCAAGTGGGTTGTACTCTGATAGGCATGCCTGGACAAGTGCAAGAACCTCGCGAGCGAGTGCGTCTCCATCTAAGGTCCGGCGGCGTAAGAAGCCACAAGTCATTCCATAAGCAGTAGTTGCCAGGTTCCAATCGCACTTCGTGTAACGAGTAAATCAAGACTTTTCTCTTCGCAGTTTCTCGCCCACGATCGCCCGTTCCAATCGCATGCAGTATAAAGAGTGACCTAAACTTTTCTTTTCGCACTTCCTCACCCACCATCGCCCCTAGCGCAAAGACTTCACTGCTGGTCCAGTTCCATCTCCTCACCATCGTCTTCCACCACCTCGCCATCATCTCCGATCCTGACTTTGATGTCGGCCATCCCTCCAGTGAACCCTCCTGTGCCTGGCTTGGTCGGCCTTTCACCTTTGATAGCGCGCCACTTGAGACACTGTGACCTTATGACACTTGGTGCCACGGTATTGAACACGCGGTTGAAGGTCGCCCTGTGTATCAAACCGAGGCTAGATTGGACGACTCCATTGCTGAGCTCGTGCCAGGCGACAACTCCCTCTACGAGCCCCGAGAGCTTTGTCTTGACAATATCCAGGTTCTGCCTTAACCTGTCGTTCTCTTGGCTTGCACAATCCACTCGCTTCTTCATTTCGACCAGCTGCTCTCTTTTCTAGTTAAGAAACCCCTTAGGTGGGTGAGAGATGTTTCATGAGAGGCGATGCACGAGTGTGTGCGGAATTTTGAAACCTGGACATGGAGGTTGTAGTGTTCATGTAGTCGATTAATGCTGGTTGGCTTGGAACGTGGCGCTTTATTTGAGTCCGAGTGACTAGCTGCCTTGTCCTTGCCAAATTTGTTACCATAAGCCGGCTTGAAGTATGTTTAGAAGAGCGTCTCCTTGCTAGCTCCGGGAAAGTCGAGTGACAGAGTGTTCGGATTGACACAGCTCCATGCTTTCAGGTACCATGCTGCCGTGTGCCCCGTTCCTGGTTCCGCGATACATGCGCCAAGGGGACTGAAGCTTCTGAAAGGCGAAACCCGTTCGCCCATCTCCACGGGGTGTACAAGGGGCTCTTCGCATTTTGCTCGAGGATTTTTTTGTACTCCTCTTCGGTGAGAACTAGCGGCCCTATGTGTCTACAAGAGCGAATGTTACTGTTCAGGAATCTTCAGACACATCCTATCGCGTATTCCTGTTTTCGCATTGTCGACATTGAGACACTACGCAATGCTACCTGTGCGTGTCTTGGGTGCCATCTTCAATCCCAAAAGAGCAGCATGTTACGGATCCGACTTAACTCTTTCATGCTGCAGCCTGTTGTTTCTTCTTCTTTTTATACAAGACGGCTTTATGTCTCTTTTCCTCGAACCCAGCAGATTCCCCTCGATGACCTTCCATCCAACAATTTTGGCAATACAAGTCACCGTCGCAACCTAGGCACTTCAGCGTCGCATCGTCCTGACAGATAATACACCATGTATCAATCTCGTCATCCACCTGTTTTTGTAGATTCGTCGATACCGGCGGCTTGTTCCTGGGTGCGAAGGACGGGGCGGAAGGAAGTCCGAGAGAATCTGTTTGGCATGGCGAAGGTGCTGCTAAGGCGGCCATGCGTGCGGTGAATGCATCTTCGATGGCTTGACTGCTGGCGAAGTCGTCTTCGGGAAGGGCATTCGGTGCGGAAGGGAGTGTGAATCCGTCATCTGTGGTATCTTCCTTTGATGAATTCTTCCGGTATCCCGATTCTGACTTGTCGTCTTCTGACGGAGGAGAAGGAGGATCGTATTTCTTGCTGATCTCTAGTTCTGCCATGACTCTCGCAATCACATCGTCTGCCTCGTCGTCCTCCGTTCTCTTCTTGCCCTCTTCCTCTTCCTCATCCTCATCTCTACTCTCTGTATCTTCCTTGGCTCTACCGACCTCACCACTTCCAACATTGATTTCAATGCTTTCCCAGTCCGTCAGCTCCTCCTTCGATGGCTGCTCAGATTTTGCACGCCCACTTTGCGGCCCCTGTGCCCTGTTATTCACCACTTCCGGGAGAATCTTGCGCATGTCTTTCAACAGCTTTCCAACATCTTGTTGTTCTTCCTTGGACACATCCCAATCCCTCCGATCGCCGACGGCGCCGTTTAGCTCACCAAGTAACTCTTCTAGGCTCTTTTCATCTTCCTCGTTAAACTCTACATTCGAGCCTCCTACGCCTTGGGCTATCCCTTCCAGGTAGCTCGGTGCCCCTGGCGCTGCGACTGGTGCGCCGGCATTGTTCGTGGACGTTGTACGCGACGGCTGTGGCGACCCTGAGGGAGACGCGCTACCAAGACGTGCGAAGCGAGCAGCGAGGTCATCGGTGGGGTTGGGAGGATTCCTGGGCGCTATCGGAGCGCTATAGTTGGTTTCTAGGCTGACGGAGGATGTCTTGAGCGCATTGAGGCGGGCAAGAAGGTCGTCGTCGGTTGAGCTAGGTTCGGGCATCTCTGGAGAATTGGTGATCGCTATGGTGATGTATGGATAAGGACTGTGGACGTCTAAGTTATGGCGCCTACTGAAGACGGCTTATGACGCGGTGTTGCATGAAGCTCGAGGCTCGGGAGTGAGCGGAGTTGGCGCGGCAGCTGTTGTGGAGCGCGGTGGGGGAGGGGCGAGCTATCCCTGACCGCGCTTCATCTCTCATCAGACAACATGTACGATCCTACGGCTGCACTATTAAATTATGAAGAGAGCAGAAACATCTGGATGCGAACTGCATATTCCTTGTCGTCGGGCCGGCATTACTGGAGATGGTTGCCTGCGGCCCGTGTCCTCCCATGCGTGACGTCCGGCCCCGCTTTCGTCATATCCAAAGCTCCGATGGCATCCTTATATCTCAACATTGCGTGCTCTGACTACGTCTAAATACACTCCACAGCTTCGAATCGTCCCGCTACCTGTTCACCTTCAGCAAACATCTAGCACGATCGCAGCTCTATATCAATTGATCATCTACATCTTCACCAAACACCCAGCACAATTTCAGAAACACCACCATCATGGCCCTCGCACCCAAGTTCGCTGGCCAAAAGCTCGCCTCCAGTGCAATCCAACCCAAAGCTATTCATACGCTCGAGCTCTGTAAGTGCTTCATCCCAGAATGCTTAGATCGCACATACTCGTGGATTACAACTTCCTCATCCGTCTAAGCCTTCCATCAAACTAACAATCAGATGCCAGACCTCGACTACGTATGCCCCTTCTCTGCCAAGATGTTCAAAACAATTTACGAGACCCCTCTCCGCAAGACACTTCTCGAGAAATACTCTGACCGCGTCGTCACCATCTTCCGACAACAAATCCAACCCTGGCATCCGTCCTCTACCCTCGTCCACGAGGCTGCCTATGCCGTACAAAAGGTCGACAGTTCAAAGTTCTGGGACTTCTCACAAAAGCTATTTGCCCAGCAGAAAGACTTCTTTGACGTAAGCCTGGTCAACGAAACGAGGAACGCGACGTACAAGCGACTGGCCAAGATCGCCGGCTCTGTGGGTGTGGATGAAGGCAAGGTTTATGGACTGTTGGAAATAAGCGACAAGCCTGGCGAGGACGGGGCGCTGAACTCAGGAAACGGGGTTACGGATGATGTCAAAGTGCAGGTGAAAGCGAATCGACTGACGGGTGTGCATGTCACTCCTACGGTTGTATTCAATGGAGTAGTGAACAACGAGATTAGCAGTTCGTGGACGGCGGAGCAGTGGGAAGAATGGTTGGAGAAGAATGCCAAGTGACTACATGACGGCATTAGTGCGGACCTCACGAAAGGGAGATTGTAAGGACACGATCATCGCATCTTGGGAATCCAAAGTCATATCCTAGCCTGCGTTATGCAAACCATGTTATCTTGAAAGTTTCGTAATACTGGAAGTGCTACTTAAAGTACGGAGTATATGTTACAAAGATGTGGCTTCCATGTAGGTCACAAGTGGTATTACGAACAGTGCCACTCCATCGCGTCGTCAATGGCTCGTCTCGCTCGGCATCGTCGCACTACTGTTAGTAAACCGCCCAAGTGTCACTTTTCAAGTGGTTACCGTGCGATTTGCGGAAGCTGTAATTGGCTCATCGTCTGTGGACCACCATTGATCCTGGGTAAGACAACCAAAATATGGCTACGTCGACGTGATGGCCGTGTGAGTCAAGGTGATTATATACTGCGAATAGTGTTCAAAGACTGAGAAGCAGACGGCGAAGGAAAGTAGAGTGAAGACGAGAGATCACGGGGACTGGGTTGACAATCTCGGTGTCGATGTTACTGAGGCTGCTTGAGGATTACATTGTAATAAATCGACGTCGACGCATACTGTCGTCTCTCGTCTACTTCACTAGCTAAGCATGTACATGAACGGAAAATTCGCGATCTCTCTACACGCCAACGCAAACGTTGGTCTGTGCCCACATGCTTTGACAGCTGGATCCAACGCCAGTGTTCCACTTGACAAAGTTCGCCAGAGTGATCTTCTCGTAGCTGATGATCTGCTGGCAAGTGTCACCTTTGGAGACGTAGTGGAACTTCCTGCAGTTGGACACCATGCCAGGCTGAGTGGGTTGGGGGGTCTGAATGCCGTTACCGGCAGAGGTTGTAGTTGTTGGCTTCTTGGTGGTAGTAGTGGCTGGGGTACCGCCGATGACGCCAACGCAGACATTGACTTCAGCCCACAAGCCAGAGCAGTCGTTGTTTACCGAAGGATTCCATTTCGCAAAGTCAGCGAGGGCGACCTTCTGACTGCTAAGTACTTGGCTGCAGCTAGAACCCTTAGGCACGTAGTAGAACTTGTTGCAGTTAGATACCATCCCGGGCTGGGTTGGCTGGGGTGTCTGAATGCCGTTTCCCGCGGATGTAGTGGTCGACGGTTTGGCGCTGGTGACAGGAGTTCCTCCACCAATGACGCCAACACAGACGTTCACCTCAGCCCACAAACCAGAACAGTCGTTGTTCACGGAAGGGTTCCACTTGGCAAAGTCGCCGAGACTGATCTTCTGGCTATCGAGTACTTGGCCGCAGTTGGTGCCCTTCTCGACGTAGTAGAACTTGTTGCAGTTGGAAACCATTCCAGGCTGCGTGGGCACGGGAGTGGCAACACCATTGCCGGCCGTGGTGGTGATACTGGCCTTGGTAGTCGTAGAGGAAGTGATGGGCCTCGTAGCAGAAGTGGTAGTGGTGGCCGGCTTAGTGGTTGCTGATGTGGTGGTGGTCACAGGAGTCGAAGTTGTGATCGGATCGTCGGTGACAGTGCCAATCACGCAGTCTAATTGTCGGTGTAGGAAGTCAGTGTATATTTCACATGCAGTTCGTAGAGAGACGCTTACACTCGTTGCTAGTGTCCAGGTTGGGGCAGGTGATACCGGGATTCAACTTCTTGAGATCGTCGACAGACAGTCCCCAACTGGATGCAAAACTCTCGCACGTCGCACCGCTGTCAGCGGTGGTAGAGAATCCACAGTCAACGCCCCGGCGAAGATGAGCGGGCCATGCCAAGGTCGATCCTGTAAGGAGACCGGCAGCAAATAGACGTGTCAGCTGCATCTTTGAGAGTTTGCAAGATATATAAAGAAGCTGTAGAAACGAGTGTGGAAGAGAGCAAGCGTAGTGTCTTGATGGCAAGATGGAAACTCAACAACGCTCTATGCCATCTTTCTTATAGCTTTCATCGAAGTCTCCCATCTTCCTTACTTGACTCTTCGTGTTCTAGCGTTCGAATAATCAGGCGGCAGGGCAGGCGGGTCACTGGTGTTGGAAGCGGCCTGCATAGTTCGTTCAGGAACCTCGGATGAGCTGACAACGGGGCGTAAGAGAAGCAATTGACGATGCCACTAGCGCAGCCACGATAGCGGCCGGTGAAGAGTTTCCCCTGATTATCCCTGCATTTGAGGCAGCAGCCAGAACGGTTCGGGAACGGACCGGAAGTGGACATGTCATGAGGAACGACATGAACGTGGCTCGCGCGACGGAAGTGGAGGCGAAGGCGTGGGTGCCAAGCGGGCGTAACGGCATGTTAGCCGCTAGCGTTGTTGCACCGTCGTTTGATAGGCCGCCTTACGCCTTCAGCGAGGTACCTTGCATTCACTCTATGGATCCTCAATGTAACCTAAATCTTCCACTTATATTTTTTCCACTTCTTGACTGTCTCCTTCTATTCTACGCCTACATCGACGCACCTTCGCCCCCAATTCCTCAGCCACCTATCTACCGTCTTTGCTTGGCGTCAGCATGCTGGTCGCCTTAGTCCTCGCTGCTTGCGCGGGAGCCGTCAATGCTGCCTCCGGCATGCTAGAGGTGGACCTCGTCTTTCCTCGCAACGAGACCTATGCCGCGACGCAAATTTTTCCAGTCATCATCGCCATTCAGAACCCCGACCTAGGGCGATTCCTGAATCCTACGCTAGACGTGACGGTCACGAACGTGGAAACACAGGCTAGCAGAGACCTGTTCTACGACCTGAGATGGGCGAACTTCTCCAGCAGTGAGCTTTATCGGGAGGTCAAAATCCTTTCAAACTTCACCGAAGAGGGCGTGTGGGCGCTTCGCTTGGACGTGGGCTGGAACAGTTGCACCGAGGACTCGCTTGCATTCCTCGGAGGTGGCCTCGCAGCCAACCGCACGAGTCGCTCCACATTCTTCACCATCAAGAGTTCCGCACCAGAATTAGATCTCGTAGCCGCCACAAAGAACCGAGATTGTACCGACAATGAAGCAGTTGCCATCAACGTGGACGCCACCCTGGCGGTCCCTGATTTTATCACCTGGGAGGATTATGATGGAAAGACTTGTGCGTCTATGGCAGCCACCACGCCGGCCCCGACTCCCTGCAATGTCAAGATTGACGCGGTTGCCGCTTCAAACATTTCTGCATCCATGACGTCTCTTCATTGCCAGGCAACTCGAAAGCCTGGAGACTCCTGTCCAACTGACGAGAAGAGCACTGCTCAGCGACTGATTGGTGGAGGTACGGCAGGATTGGTGGCCGCATTTGGCACATTCGGCTACATGATGGTGTGAAGATCTATACAGTTACATAATACACATTCACTCGGTGGCTGATCGATTGATTTCGTCTCCTATCTTAAGTGGGACAACCATATTACAAGTCGATACGTCTTTCGCTGACAGTAAGCAATAGCTAAGCAATAGCTTTAGATTACAAGACTTTTCCCGCTTGGACTATTGCATTAGGCCCCCATCAGGATCAATCTGTGGAACTGCCGGGAGTTAGGCCGCACCTTGGGCAGCTCGGGTCTGACGGCACCAAAGTGCGGCTGAACTACGGGCCAGGCCGTCTGTAGGAACAGTCTAGTCTGGTTCTAGTCTTTGCTGAACGCTCCAGGATGACTGCAAGGCTCCCTGGACTGGTACATCGTAGGGCTGATCTTAGACCGAACCCCTGCATACACCCGCGGATTTTCACCTCATGCTTGTTGGAAACCTACTGTAGCATACCTCGGAAATGAGCATCCACAACAGGCCCCCCAAGGGCGGGTAAGCAATGACCGTCTTAGGTCCACTGACCGGAAGTTCGCCTTACGGGATACGAATCTCAGGATGGTCAGAGGTCTACCTAGGTCTTTCGATACAAAATTTGGCGAGCAGCGGTATGACTGCACACAGTATAAAGCATACTTCTCCTTGTCGATAGCTAGGGCACCAGGTATCCAAAGTCAATCTTTTGACTCTGGTAGCTTCTCCTGTCACATTCATTTGCAGCCCTAGAGCTCAGCATCTTGACTGAGGTAGCTTCAGTTGTTGTATTACAACTATGGTGGCCTCATCATGGTTGAGCCCAGCAGTCAGGGCAATCGGATTCTTGCTCTTTGTGGACAGTGTGTCCGCGAAGGGAGACTTCAGACTTGCTACGAGCCCTAGCTACCGCAACTCTAATCCTTGTCCAGAACGATGCAGCATCTCTGGCGCAAACACGGGCAACTGGTCTGCCTATCCCAACTTCCAGCAGATCAAGCGGTGTACGGAGACCATGTTCTACGACTTCTCTCTTTACGACGAGGTTGATGACGATTCGAGCAATCACCGTATCAATGCCTGCTCCTCGTTCGGCACCGACTTCACTGAGCTCTCCAGCTCGGAGCCAAATTCGACCAAGACCGCCCAGACTGTCGACGTCGATTTCGAGATTGGCTGGTGGAATGAAGGTTTCGGCCTGGCTGCCTCCGGTCTCCGATCGCTCATCGCGCAGATTCGAGAATACGCAGACAACGGACATGGCGCTACTGATCGACCCTTCATCATGTTTGGCCAGTCTGGTCAAGCTACTATTGGTTTATACATTGGCCAAGGCTTGTTGAATCAGGGACTCAGCGCTTCCGCCATGAAGCTTTTTGAAGACAAACTCGACAACCTCAATGTTTCGACGCCTAGCTTGGCTATGCAGCTTTGCGAGCCAAGCTACGGCAGTGACCACATTTTCGGCCTCATGGTCACTAGCAATGGCACATTCACTCCAGTGCAAACTGCCATTAAGACTTGGGCCAATGCGACATGCCTATCTTTCTCCGAGTCGACCAACATCACCGGGCAGGCCATCTTCACTACTCCACTCGTACCCACGAACAGCACTACGAATTCCACCTTGTTGAATTCTACATCGCTATCTGAGCGAAGCAGTCAGCATCAAGCACACAAGAGGTATCCGTCTCATGCCAAGTTCCACGCTCGTGCGGACTGCAGGACCGTTCAAGTCGACTCCGGTGACAGCTGTGCGAAGCTGGCTACCAAATGTGGCATCACAGCTGCTGAGTTCACCAAGATCAATTCCGACTCCAGCTTCTGTGCGAATCTAAGGCCGAAACAGCATGTCTGCTGTTCGAGTGGGACTCTTCCAGATTTTAGTCCCAGCCAGGGATCGGACGGCACATGCTACACATACCAGGTCAAGACCGACGATAACTGCGACGACCTTGCTGCCCAATTCAGTCTCACAAGGGACAAGATTGAAGACTTCAATAAGAACACATGGGGTTGGAACGGCTGTAAGCTCCTCTTTGTAGGCACCAACATGTGTTTGAGCAAGGGTAGTGCGCCATTTCCAGCCCCTATCGCCAACGCACAGTGCGGCCCGCAGAAGCCCGACTCGAAGCCACCCACCGATGGTACAAAGGTCACAGATATGAACCCCTGTCCTTTGAATGCATGCTGCAACATCTGGGGCCAGTGTGGCATTACCAAAGACTTTTGCGTCGACACCAACACTGGTGCTCCAGGTACTGCTAAGCCGGGTACTTACGGCTGCATTTCCAACTGTGGAACAGATATCGTCAAGGGTTCCGGCAGCGGCGGTATCAAAATTGCCTACTACGAGGGCTATGGGATGGGCCGCGACTGTCTCTTCCAGGATGCCTCCCAGATCGACACTGCGGCATATACGCACATTCACTTCGCCTTTGGCACGTTGACGAATTCATACGAGGTTGAGACTGGCGATGTGCTATCAACATACCAGTTTAACGCATTCAAGAAGATCAAGGGTGCGAAGAAGATCTTGTCATTCGGAGGATGGGACTTCTCCACCTTTCCTGCTACGTACAACATCTTCCGGGAAGGTGTCACATCTGCCAACCGACTCAAGATGGCCACCAACATTGCAAACTTCATCAAGAAGCACGAACTTGATGGTGTTGATATTGATTGGGAATACCCTGGTGCACCCGATCTTCCTGGCATACCTGCGGCTAGCAAGGCTGACGGCCCGAACTACCTGGCCTTCCTCGTCATTCTGAAGAACCTTCTGCCTGGAAAGTCAATTTCTATTGCCGCCCCCTCCTCATACTGGTATCTCAAGCAGTTTCCTATCAAGGACATTGGCAAAGTCGTTGATTACATTGTCTACATGACTTATGATCTCCATGGCCAGTGGGATGCAGACAATTCGTACTCTCAAGAGGGATGCGCTACAGGTAACTGCCTGCGCAGCCAAGTCAATTTGACCGAGACAAAACAATCTCTTGCCATGATTACCAAAGCAGGCGTTCCAGGAGCCAAGGTTATTGTTGGTATCACGAGTTATGGACGATCCTTCAACATGGCCGAAGCAGGTTGTTGGGGCCCGGGCTGCTTGTACACGGGCACTCGCGAGAACTCACATGCAACCAAGGGAAAATGCACCGGCACTGCTGGATATATTGCTGATGCCGAGATTGCAGACATTGTGAATGATCAGAAGAGGGCTGGACGCGTAGTCAAGAACTTTGTCGACACTAGCAGCAATAGCGATATTCTTGTCTACGATGACACCCAATGGGTGAGCTATATGAGCGCCAGTACAAAGAAGACACGCGCTACTTTGTACTCAGCCTGGGGCTTTGGAGGCACTACCGATTGGGCAAGCGATCTGCAAACATTCCACGATGTTCCGAAACCGGCAGCGAGCTGGGGCGACTACAAACAACTCATCAAGTCTGGCCAGGACCCCAGGGCTGACCACTCGCGCAACGGCAACTGGACCGAGTTCCACTGCACTGACAAACTGGTCGACGATGCCTCCTACTATACACCACATGAACAATGGGTGGGGCTCAGTACTGATGAGGCTTGGAAGGACGTTATCAGAATCTGGAAAGATACCGATCGTGGTAGGGGTGGCATCAGCTTCTCTCAATCTGTTTCTGAGACTACCAATGTTGCCTCTTCACCCGACTGCGGGAAAATGGGTTCCAACAGCAATTGCGATGCGACCGCAAAATGTGACCAAGGATTGGAGGCAGAAGACTCGGGTCCCGCAGCCATGCTGATTTGGAACTCATTTGTGTTTATTCATCAGATGTACAAGGATTACCACGATGCCTTGTTCGATGTGGCTGCAGTCGTCGCTACTAATCTGCGAGACCTGGAGAACAAGTTTGCACCAATTCCGCCCGAGCCCGATCACACATGGGAGCTATTCCTTATTGATCTTCTCACCCTGGGAACCCTTTCAGCTGCTGGACCGTTCTTCAATAACCTCATCAAGAAGATGCCTTACTTTGCGAAGCCAGATGGGTCCGCGTTCGACAACGCCAAAGACACTACTTTCACCTTGATTGGTCAAAGTACCACCATCGCTAAGGACTTGTTGACTCTAGGTGACCCGGACGCAAAATGGACCGTTGAACTTCAAGACTCCTTCTCCAGCTACATGGGCAATGTTATCACCGGCTGGGCCAATGTCACTACTGTCGCGTTGAAGCGATTGTTCGATGGATCAGATGGAAGCATTGATACTTTATGGGACATCATTTCGGATGGGAAACTGATCCTCGGTGCAATTGACGATAGCACTGGTGGCAGCGACAGGTTTCCCGATCCTATGAGCGAGAATGACCTCCGTGCCAACATCCAGAAATCCGTCTTCGGCTTCGCCATCCCAAACCTCTGGAGTGTTTCCAAGGCCTACCCCTTCATCATCGATTCCGGTAACGGTTGCGATGGAGACAACATCGGTAAATATATGGATGACGACACCATGAAAGCTACTGGAATGTGCTTCGAGGGCAAGATGTACTACATTGCCAGTCCTGACGGTGATGCCAGAGTGTGCAAGTGTGAGCCCCAGGAGAAGGGCCCTTGCCAGACCACATGCAGAGTCCAGAAGTTCTCAGCACCCAAGGGCCTTGACTCTTTGGACGGAAAGGATGCGTTCGGTGGCATCACCAAGGAGGATCTCATTAAGGGCTCTGTCAAGACCTGGACCTCGAACGGTCGCAAGAACGGCGCAGAAGTTGCAGATCCCACCAACGATGGTACAATGGACAACCTACTTGACATCGACGTAACAACGCCTGGTTTCATCCGCATACCCGTCTGCAGTGCGGACAGAGCCTTCCAATCCTGGGACACCGCCGACAAGGGCTCAAGCTCACACTACCCTTGCGACATACCACCGGGTCGAAACGACTGCAAGGACTCCTCTTTCGACGATAAGACGAGCGGTGCTTCACCTAGCGTCGACGACTGTCGCCAGATCATCACCAACATCCAGGGAGATGGTTCGACGGACTGGACGACGGATGTCATCGGACACAACCAGCGCGAGATCGCCAAGTTTGGCTCCTGCTCTTTCGGTGTTGAAGCGTCCAAGACGAACGGTAACGTCAACTTCGTAGTTGGAGGACAAGACGTCATCGATATTATCAACACTGCTATCGAGAAGTTCGGTGGCAGCGGCAAGGTGGGAGCTGAAGGCCACATGGAGTGCAATGGCAACATAAAGGGTCAGGCTGTCACATGGGGTATCTACTAGAAGAGTCTATCTGTACCCGTTTCATACTTCTCTCTTGTACTTCAATCATGTCAGCTTGATGTACCCTTCCATTTGTATGCTTGTATTATGAATCATATACACGTTCGTTCATCCTACATGATGTGCTATTAACGCATGGTACTCTTCCTCTCCTCACACATTTCGCGTGTCGCATAAGGCGAAAGCTCACTACGAAGACGCCCGAACACTTTCCTTTCTTTCCCGCCCAGGACAACCCCTTGAACAAGCGCTCACAGTTCGTGTGACATGAGCACAAGTTTTTACATCGAGCTGCTAATCATATCTATCAATTTCAAACTTGTGAAGGCCAGATAGCTCGCAAGCCTGACCACGCTGACTTCCAAGCCCAGTCTACGGGTTGCTTCTCTCAGCTGAAGTCCGATAACGCTGAGATCTAGAGACCTGGGTTGTATATCTCCTGCGTAGATGGTCACATTTTGCAGCGATGTTGATACGTCGAATTTCAAGGGTAGGCCGTTGTTTCCGGAAAGCTCAGCGCGCATCTCGATTTCCGCCGCAAGCTCTTCGTCAATATCGATAGACTTGACTGCGTTGAGCTTCGCCGGAGCAAGAGTGCTGGTAAAATTATCCAATGAGCTACTGGGTTTGAAGCGGAAGGTGTTGAGCGCATAATAGAGGATTGAGGCCGCGCTTTGTACTTGACGACATGTCGAGAGAAGCGCTAGATCGCTCTTGTCGTTGTTGCTAGTGGGCCAAGGTCCAGAGCGTCCCGTATCCTTGATCACTTTGGGCGGGGGATCAAAGCAGCCAGTGCCTCTATAAAGAGCGAAGTTGTAGATGCGGTTTCGAAGCTCTGCTGGAAGCCGAAGAAGGGGCGAGTTCTCTTGGTTAAGCTGAGTGCTAGTATGGAGTCAGCCGTGATCGAGATATGGCATCCAGAAAGAACTTACGTGCGATCATAGTCCGACATATTGTGAACAATACTTTCGGCGACGGCTAGCCTTGAGACTGATCGCTGGGCGTCTTGCCTCTAAAGCCTTGAGTCCAGCGACAAGGTATCCTCCACGGTGTTGGGCCCTTTTGTACAGTTTACTAAGATCCGACGTCTTCGCATTGTATAGTTAACCCCAGCGTGTCATGCTTGTGTCCTGCAAAGTGGTGCGGTAGAGATAATTCGAACTTAGAGGGAACTGTACCAGCCCGTATCGATAGGAACTAGGTTATATATAGTGGAGTAGAGCAAGGTCTCGATTTAGTGACTATGAGCAAGCGCTCCGTGCGCAGACAATTCTCCTCATTCACTGACAGGCAGTACGCCAGGCATCTCGTTCATAGATGTGAAGTACCATGATCACTAGACTCGGAGGGATGCGACTCGAGGAACTACTCCTTCCGATGAACCCTCTTAATCTTTAATGCAATGCAAGATGACCATACCTAAGCCTTGTTCCCATGGTCGAAACATATCTCCAGCAGGTGGTTACCAGCGCCGCGCCGTACAAGCCGAGAGATGTTCGCGTCGGTTCTGTATATGAAAGAAACCCAGACCCTCTCCAGCGACGTGAACACTTTCAGATCGTGATTTACCACTAGTTCGTATCTCAATAGCTTGACTGCTCGGATAGCCTGAATCTGCTGTTGATTCAGGCTTCTAGCAAATTCATCAATCCTGCAGAATGTCTCAACCCCGAAGTCTGTGTTATTGAAGGATAGAAAGTATACTTCGCTTGGGATTTGGCCACATAGCTATAGTAGGTGCAAGGCGCTACCGGTTTGCTTGTTGACCTGAGTTGGAGAAAGGTTGACACCCTGGTCGATTGTGTAGTTGTAGATTCGGTTGCGGACCTCGGCCGCATGGCAGATCTGGTCCATGACAGCTACGTGGCTACCGCGTTCCAACACATCACGCTGGTTTATACATACATCCTCCACCTATATACGATGAGGCAGAGAGTCATTTCGCATATGCATGAGTGCACCCTCGAGGTCTGCAATGATGTTGACATGCTCACCGCCCAGACACAAATGACCAGACCTTTCATTGCTGGTAGAGACGTAAGTTAAGGCTGTGTAGACTTGCATGTGATCATTGTCTAATGCTGAAGGCGTACTATGAACTAGGATTTCGGACAGTATAGACGCGGGCTCTGGGGACGGCTGCAAGACAAGTATGAGGATAGAGTCAGGGTGCGTTAGAGAGCTGTACGCAAATGTAGCGCTGTTCTGCAAAATGGATTAGTATGATATCTGTAGATGACGGCTGTATGTAGTGGGATAGAATGTGGCGTCCCGTGTTTATATACTAACATAGTACCATTTGAGACGCTAAGAAGAAGCGCGTTTCTTTTGAACTTCGAAGCCAACTAGGTATGCTGGCGATAAAACCTTGGGTAAGATCATGTCGTACTACGACACCGCACTTTTCGATTGAGAGTATCTCTGATATCATATCCATCGTAAGGGTCATAAGCCCACAGCAAAACAACAAACGCCATCTATCAATATGTGCTCATAAAAGCGACTTTTCTCCACCTGGTACAAAACCATGGCGCTTAAAGTAAGATTTACTGCGCAGCCGGCGCAGCGTTGTTGGAAGCCTTTCCGTTGGTAATCTTAGGACCAACAACCGCCTCCTCAAGCGCACGCTTGACATCAGCAACAAGATCCGCCTCATCCTCAACACCACAGCTGATGCGGACGAGATCGTCAAAGACACCAGCTGCCTCGCGCTGCTCCTTAGGAATACCGCCGTGTGTCATGGCGCTGGGTACCTCGACGAGCGATTCAACTCCACCCAGTGATTCAGCCAGTGTGAAGATCTTGGTCGCTTGGCAAAAACGCTCCGCAGCTGCGTGACCGCCCTGGATACGGAAGGAAAGCATGCCACCACCCATTCCGTCACGGTGCTGCTTCAGCGCAATGTGGTGTTGAGGGTGAGACGGCAGACCGGGGTAGTTGACAGAAACGACGTGTGATGAAGCCTCAAGAGCCTTTGCGACGCCCGTAGCGTTCTTGGTTGCTTCCCTTGCGCGAAGATGCAGGGTCTTGAGACCGCGGTGTGCGAGCCAGCAGTCAAAGGCAGAGGGAACGGCACCGATGGCGTTCTGCAAGAAAGACAGACGCTCGTATAGCTCGTCTGAGTTGAAGGCCGCAGCGCCCATGACGACGTCCGAGTGGCCGTTGATATACTTGGTGACGGAGTGTACCACGATGTCCGCGCCGTGGTCCAGCGGGTTCTGAACATACGGGCTCATGAATGTGTTGTCCACAACGACCATGATGCCATGCTGATGCGCAATCGTCGAGATCTTGCGGATGTCTACCAGCGTCAGCGTAGGGTTTGACGGCGACTCGATCCAGATGAGCTTTGTGTTGGGGCGGATGAGCTCGGCGATGTCGATCTCGATGCTGGGGCTGAAGGTGACTTTGACATCGTGCGTCAGGGCTACCTTGGTGAAGTAGCGGTGCGTTCCTCCGTAGACGTCTGACACGGACACAACGTGTGAGCCCGCGGCGAGCGATTGCAGGATGTTGGCTGTGGTGGCGGACCCGGATGAGAATGCGAGCGCATAGCGGGCGTGTTCGAGGGCTGCGACTGCCTTCTCAAAGTTGTCTCTGCAAGCGCGTCAGTTTTTGAATGCGTGGGTGGTGTCGCGCATGCGTACCGGTTTGGGTTCGAGGAGCGCGAGTACTCATACTCGCCTATGGGCTTTCCAACGGCGGTTTGCGCAAATGTTGTCGACAAAGAAATCTGATTGGGTTAGCCATGGGTTTGTGAGACTTTGCGCGTGAAATGCTTACGGCTTCAATGACAGCTCCGGTGACGGGGTCATGAGGACTTCCGGCATGCACGGCGAGCGTGCCGAATCCGTGGACTGGTGATGGCGCGCGTGGCGGGGTGTCGATAGGGTGTTCGGGGAGCGTCATCTTGATCTTCTGAATACTCTTTGAACGGCGGGCGGCGTCGACTTGGTGGTACGAAGGTGCTTGAACTTCAAAACGCAGCGAGAGGATATAATTCTTTCCAAATTTCAGGCCCTCCGAGGTGTTGACGTCTATAGGTGAATTATTGTTCTAGCGACAAATCCTAGCGCGCTTTCTATCGGTGGTGCATGTGCGGTTGACCGTGATGGCGCGAATGCAGAATAATTCTTTCTTGCAGAATTTCCTGTCAAAGTGGAGATGGAAAGCAAGTGAGGACCATTCTTCATGACTCCTGCCATCTTATACCCAACAAGCCCCGTTGGACGTCTGACATTTCTCAGCAGCAGATTAATCAGACGGCGTTTGCTCAAACCGTGGCATACACAGCTCGGCCCAAAGCGCGCGTTGGTTTCGTGAGCAAGCGGCGATGGTGTCATAGTATTCTCCGACCCGCCTTGTGACGGCCTTGGCAGCTTTTCGATTACACATCGCGCTGCGAGTGCTACCAAGTGCAGCAGGTTGTTCGGGCGAGATGCTTTATAGAGTTTTTGGATACGTAAGCACAATTTAACACCGGCGTTCAATGGCAAGTGATTTGCATCGTAATCTGATTCAAGTGGAGAGAGGTCTATGAATGGCGCAAACGTCTATGGGTATCTTGGGGGTATAACGGTGATGCTTAGTATGGATCCTCCTCTGGCCGGCTCTTAAGCTTCACATATCCACTTGTGCCTTTTTTCCGCGCTGTCTGCTCACTCTGGGAAACATGCCCCGCCTGTGAGGGTGAAGACTTTCCGTTTTTCGTAGTCGATGTGAGGTAGCCACGCCCGTCGTCGAGACCGGTATTACCTCGCCGTTTCTCGCCAACGAGAATTGGGTCTTCCGCGATCAAGTTCTCCATGTCTTCCCATTCTTTCTGGTTCAACACGTCCCATTCTTGCGCCTGTTGCTCAGCCAATAGATATCCCCTCAGCTCGTCGATAATCTTGGTTGGCGACAAGCCCCATCCGCTAATGTATTGTGCATTCTCGGCCATGCCTAGGAACGAATGTGATGTAGCGTGTGAAAGCTGGCCAAAGCCTACAGGTGACTTGCGGAGGATCAATCTAGAAGACCTGGAAGTGGTGATATCTTTGTCCAATGGATTCTCGAGGCGTTGGGGATTGTATGTCTCTTGCGTGATTAGTAGTCGGTGCAGATTGCGACCGATCGAACAGGTATCTTCCCACTGCTTGAAGCTGTCTTTCATGCCCTGGGTTCGACATAGCCAAGCCACATTGTACGCAAGCAGAGACACGCCTTCAATGAAGGACGAGTATGCAGGAGGATCTTCGGCGCAGAGGTGACTCAGTGGGCGATCGACGAATAATGCGCGCGGTTTCGGCAGGTGTATACGCGTCTCAAGCGTCCGGGAGGCTTCCGGACTGGCGCTGGATGAATGTGAGGGTGTCGAGCCAGGAAAAGGTACTTTCTTGCCCTGGTATGAGGATGCTGGACTGAAGATTGTGGGCTGAGGATAGTCGCTATGGGGAAGTGTGATTTCGGCTGGGAGGCGGATACCCAGGTAGGCAGCGACGCGAACGACGAGTTGGGCTACGGCAGCCAGTGAGGCAGATAGGCCGTCGGGTGTCACATCTGTACCAAAGTCAGCACGTCGCCTCGACAGGTGTGGCCTGAGACATACCATTCAGATCTCGAAGATCGTATATCCGCAAACGCGTGCCGGGCCCGATATTGTAGACCTCTTTGACACCGCCATCCCTTGTCTTTCGCCGCTGCATCTTAAGTCCCGCGAGCTTCGCAGCAGTCGTGCATAGCTGCATGCGCAGATCTATGGTATCGTGGTGCATCTTGTCTGCGTTGTAGTCCGACCGCTTGACCCTCTGCTGCACCTTGTCCAACTCGTTCGCCCGCCGCGATTCAATGCCGTATGTGGCGGATGAGAGGTCTGACTTGCGCTGCGCGTTCGCTGCTCGCTTCGCTTCAAGCTGCTTCCTAGTATCCTCCATCTGTCGTCGAAGATGGTCGGCGTGCTCTGATATCATGCCTAGCCGATCCTGTATCTCTGCCGTTTCTGCTTTTGTCCGCTCCCAGTTCAGATTGTTCGTACACTCTTGTCTGTCGACCAAGAGTCCGCCTTTCGAGTCGGTGAGAGAGACATGCTGAATCGCTTTGTCTTCTGAGCCGTTTATGATAGCCGTGACGTGTTTCGCGACGGCATCGCGGTCTATCAGCGTCTTTGCGAGTTGGATGCGGGGCTGTTCGAGGTATGAGCGCGCGCAGGTCATGCAGTGGAGAGGCTGGCTCTGGCTGCCATCTCTCCCGCAGATGTCGCACTCCATGATGAGTAGGGATTATGTTATGTGATGTCGCCTGCAGAAATGCCGTGGAGTGGTAGGTCTGGAAGGTGCAGCGAGACCATGGTGGGAGTGATTCGTCGAGGCGGTTGGCGAGTGCCTATGTAGCCATGGAATCAGTCGGTGGGATACCCGGTGAATATCTAGGCTCCGTGAGTGTTAGCGCTTTCCTCTGTCGTGAAGCATAAGCAAGGCATCCAGAGGGCGGTGGATGAAGAGGTTGTGTGATGGAGGCGGTACTCAGGCAGAGGCGCGAATGCGAGTCAGACGCTCCTTCCAACGTCATGCCGCGACTGACCAATACGGATCGCGCTAACGCACGTGGTATACGTGAGTGAACATCAATCTACCTTTACGACTACTGTGTGTAATCTGATAGAACTGACATTTCGCGTCGAATATCTTCCTGATGACGATGAGACGCGCTCGCGATCACTTTACTTACCTACAGCACTGACCAAAGGCATCGCAAATGAGTAGGACTCCCGACAACGAACCCGAATCGTCCCTCCCCTCTCATATCTCGTCGACATACCTTTCCTCGCCTCCACTACTGACCCAGCCACCAAATACCACCGCAATGGATACTGCCCCGGCTGCCAAATCGGAGCCGCCACCCAGTCAAGAGGCTCAGAATGTACGACCACCTATGACACGCATGCATTCAGACGAGACAGAGCGGCCACCCTCAGCCCAGCGCACAAAAGACGAGGTCGACGACGAAGCGGATAACGCCGTTGAAAAACAGTCAGAAGATGAAGAGAGTGACCCCGCCGAAAAGATCGTCGATTTTGACTGGGAAGACCTGGAGGCGCGGTACCACGACGCTATGAAGACATGCCACAATGAAGAGGACCAACTAATGCACGAGTGGGAAAACCTCATGACTGTACAACTACCTCTTTTCTACTGCTGCCCGAGTTACTGATAGAGTTGTTAGTACTTCCGCATCTGGGCCTCATCAGGGAACGAGCATGAGACGGAGCGGACATACGCGAGGTAAACATGCCTTCTGAAAGTCGCGTGATCTACTAACCATGTGCCTCAGACTTCGCACACGCTCGACATACGTTCAGCACGAGGAAGCGGAACTGGAGCAAAAGCGGAATCATTGTATGCTAGCCTCTACTTTCTTTCATGCTTTTCAACTAATATGCCGCAGACATCAATGTTGTCAAAGCCTTCGAGAGTGCGCTCAACCTCCTTAAAGCCAGTGGCCTTGGTCGTTGATGCTCATCAACCTAGGCGCTATCTACCTTGCTCATCATCCACCGCAATCGGAAGTCTCACAGCGTCTCGCTGGCCCTGATAGCTCGTCGCCATCTCCGCGGCGATTGATGCGGTTGTCCAGCGTTCCAACATGCACTTCATCGAGGATGCACTTAATGCGCTGTTCCATCATGTAGGATGCCATCAGTACCGAAGTGGTCACGTTTGAGAAGGATCAGTCGCAATAAACGGTACCCGGTCCATGTACATCAGTTTAAAGACATTCATTGCCAGGTGTCTGCTCTATATAAAACCCTAAATCGACCGCTCAAGATTCTATGCCAAATGCACCGCCTTTTGCCGAAGGTCTATACATGGTGCCCGTGCCTTCCATATATGCGCTAAACAATGAGACGCCCATATCCTTTCATGCGAGGTATTCCAGAAATGGCCCAACATGGTCCAAGTTTGTGATAGTAATGGTTGTGGTGCGTGTTTCGTCTATAGCAGAGGGTTGGAGCGGTACTCAGGAACGACGCCGTTTGTTTGCGACTTCTCGGCCTGGTTCTCTGTCTCGAGCTCGTTGCCTACGCTGTCGTCTTGCTCAGCGAGCCACTTCTCTGCCTCAAGGGCGGCAACGCAGCCAGATCCTGCACTGGTGATGGCCTGGCGGTACCGCTTGTCTTGGACGTCACCGGCCGCGAAGACACCCTCAACGCTTGTGAGACCCTCTCCGGGCTTGGTGATCAGGTAGCCGTCCTCGTCCATGTCGAGCTGTCCCTTGAACAGCTCGGTGGCGGGGTCATGTCCGACGGCGTAGAAGAGACCCTTTGCGTCGAGGGTCTGCTCTTCCTTTGTGACGTTGTTTTTGACCACTAGTTGTGTCATCAGACCGTTCTTCTTGTCCTCGCCCTTGATCTCGCTTGCGCTGGTGTTGTACATGATCTCGATCTTAGGGTGCGTTGTCAACCGGCGGGCATTCGTTCGGCTCGCGCGGAGCTGGTCTCTTCGTACGAGTACGGTAACCTTTGACGCCTTCTTCGTGAGGTATAGAGCCTCCTCTACTGCTGAGTCACCACCTCCGATGACGACCAATGGCTGGTCGCGGAACATGGGAAGGGAGCCGTCGCATACAGCGCATGCGGATACACCGTTGCCCCAGTACTTGTCTTCACCCTTGAGATCTAATCTCCTGGCCTTTGCGCCGGTCGCGATGATCAAAGCATCAGCAGTGTGTATCTCCTCCTCGATCTCCTCCTCGTCGCCCATGGGGTGTAACCAGTACTTGAAGGGGCGCGCTTTCAGGTCAACCTTCGCGACGGTCTGGGAGATGATTTCGGTGCCGCAGGCTTCGGATTGTTCGCGCATTTGCTCCTGTACGCTGTTAGTACCAGTTCGGGCATGGCTATCGCGCGATGTTACTGACCATGAGCTTGCCGCCTCCGATCTTGACGAAACCGGGGAAGTTCTCGACTTCGTCTGTTGTGGTCAATTGACCACCTGCGGCGATACCGAGAGCCATGAATCCCTCGTACATGACGGCTGCACATGATTAGCACGTCGTCGGAGTGGTTGCGAGGCGGTATCTTACGGTTCAGATCCGCTCGTGCGGCATAAATAGCTGCGGTGTGGCCTGCTGGCCCCGAGCTGTGCATGTTAGCATTGTTCTCGAAATCGACTCCGTCGCGCCATTGATCGCAGAACATACCCAATGACTGCATCCTGTTAGCACTATACAAGCCACAGATTGCTATGATGCTACTTACTGACTAGTTTTGAATGCATGTTTCGCGACTGTACTTTTGCAAAGGTTGAAGCAGTCGAAAGCCCCGCTACAGGTGAGACGCGCTGATTATGCGATGCCGCGGCAGCGATGGGGACCGAGAATAAGGATAGGTTGCGGGGGGAGGAGGCCCTTCGGAAGATTGATGCGAACACTTTGGCGGCGTGTGCGAAAGTTTCGCGTGTCGCGTGCAAGATGTGGTTGCGGGCGTGTGGGTCGTGTGTGGATAGTGGGATGCGATGTGGAGGTTTGACAATGGAGTGCGAGCAGTGCAGATGGTGCCTTATGTGAGAGGGACCAGGTGACGGAGAAGGGACTGGAAAAACGCTTTCGACGTTGCCGCAGCGGGTTTGCGATTAGTGGGCGTCGTCTTCTAGCTTCGGACGTTCCGCGATATTTGGTGGATGACGGCGAGCCGAGGCGTGGTGGGGTTTTCAAGATGCAGATCGTGCTCAACTATGCGTTCGCAGTCAATATATATGCAATGCAGTATAAAAATGAGGACAGCACGTTGGAGAATGGAGGACAAGAGAGCAAACACACCTTATTTACAAACGCAACACATGTCAGACGTTTGGAGATTTCTGCTTGGAAAGAAAAAAGTCGGCTGCTTGCTGTCGATCTACGCCATCGGCGGCCGGGCTGTCATTCTTAGAAATCGACCTGTACTAGACCCACGTTCCATGCAGCCCACTCATCTTGCCCATCTCGCGTTTAATGTCCGATGCTGACATGCTTATGCTTGACTCGATGCGACTTCAGTATCACGAGCCTCGGCAAAGTCAATCAGGAGTTCCGGCGAGTTCGTCCGCTGAAGCGTAGCTTGGAGGCAAGTGTTTGAATGATTACAGTTCATGCGCGTTCTGGAGTGGCGTGCGTCACGCTTCACTTTCTATCTTCGTACGCCGGCCCCGCGCTCAGGAGTGAGCACGACAAGTCCATTGTGGGCGTCTAACGCTGCTATCTAATCCTCCGCGCCTGGACGTTTCCTGAGGTTCTCCACATTGTAGAGCATATCCCGGACTGCTTTGTCATCTGCAAGTCGGTCGTCACCACCTTGCTCGAAACTCTTCAATGTCTCTGCGAGCTCTGCATCTGCGTGCCATGCACCGTCTTGCTGTCTTGCGAAGCATTGCAGTCTTAGTGCCTGTTAGACATGTTAGCTATCATCCATGAAATACTTCTGAGGAAGCAGCTTACCTTGTCCTCCCGAACTTCGGTCGTTGAGCCTGGCTGCTGGATGTTGTCTATCGAGACAGCCAACTTCAACGGGCTAGTAGACGTACGGATGATGGCAAGGTCGAGCGCATTGCCGTCGAGTGGAACGGCATAGCCTGGTACGGACGCACCTAGTTTGAAGCTGAACAGCGCTGGTACTCCCTCGCATGCCACAACAACTGTCTCGGCCTATCAAGAGTCAGATGATGGATAAACAAAGTCAAAGTCTTCATGATACTTACATCGTGCTCGTTTGGTAGGTTCCATATTCCAGAAACTGCAACCTTGTACGTCGCCACATCTACTCCTGCTGGGATCATGCCACGCCCCTGAAGATGAGTGAAGGCAAGATCACGGATGGCCAACTTTTCCTTCAAGACGTAGTTCTGCCAATCCCATACAAACAAGTTATCGTCGCCACCGCCAGACACAAGTAGACCAGACTGGGTGAGGCAAAGCCTGCTCACGAAAGCTTCGTGGCCGAAGCAGAAGCCCTCAATGATATGCGCTTGCGGTGGGCCTCTTGATATTCTTATGTGCTCGTCCCGATCCGCTGTCATGATGTAACCCCGCCTGTCTGCCTTCGCATAGACGACATCTGTGAGCATAGAGACGTGGCCTAGGAGCAGCTCGTGCTTGAATCGCATAGTCTCCTTGGGCTTCGCTGGGCCTTTCGCTTTCCGTTTCAGCTGCTCTTCGAGAGTCTTTCGATTCCTGCCAGAGTGAACGGTGAGAGTAGTAGCGGAAGGGATCCATTCTTTCTCATCGGCCTCTTCAGTTGCTGGTGCCTCGGGCTGCTCTTCTACCTTGTCGTCATCAGGCGAAGGGAGAAGTGGTAATGCATAGACATCGCCAAACTTGTCTGCACACAATATGGTTGCATCGTCAGACGTGAGAGTGATTGAGCAAGGCCGTCTTGACATGCACCTTGATCATGTCAATTTTCGAACAGGGAGGATATCGTGTGCCTCGTACCTTTCGCTCAACTGGTGCAGCTGGTTCTGAGCATCAATCTGGAAGACGCGAACGCATTTGTCTTCGCCAGTGATGCCAACCAAGTATTGTCCATCGTTTGAGAGGATGAGACTGGCGAAATTCGACTTTTGCTCTTTCGGTTGTTCCAATTTAATGCGTTTTCCTGGTCTCTCTTCGGAGTCGCCCTCCTGCTGATCCTGCTCACATTAGCGATGCGCAACTACTTCGACCACCAATCCAACGCCACAACACCGACAAATCACAACAAGTACGCCATCACTCACTTCAATTTGGGCGTCTTGCTGTGGCCATGTCGTCACTGACCCGCGGCTGGATTGAACTACAATCTTGGAGCCGCTCGCAGCAAACACAGTCCAGTCGTCTGAAGACTCAGAGCTTCGCGCTACAATGCACTGGTACGGAACAGTCATGATGTCTGCGTCATGCACGGCCTCGTGGAGTTGATGGTACTTTTCTGTGAGGCCCCAAATGCGCTAGCGCGTTAGGCGAGCAGGGGCCACCCACAGCAGACAACCTCGATTTTCGCCGGCCGAACTTTCCCTCATCCTCAAACCATCAACAACACCAAACTAAGACCTTAAACATCCCTTTGGGTCACAGAACACAATGGGGGGCAAGAAAGAAACCAAGGCCGCTTACTTCGAGAAGCTCGAGCAACTGCTCAAGGAGTACAAGAGCATCTTCATCGTCACCGTCGACAATGTCTCGTCCCAGCAGATGCACGAGATCCGCCAGTCGCTCCGCGGCGAGGGTGTCGTTCTCATGGGAAAGAACACAATGGTCCGCCGTGCTCTGAAGGGTCTCATCAACGACTCTCCCGAGTACGAGCGTCTCCTTCCCCACGTCAAGGGTACGTCTTCCCATCCACGCGACGCTCGCGCACAGCATTGACACTAGTGTACAGGCAACGTCGGTTTCGTCTTCACCAACGCCGACCTCAAGGAGACCCGTGACAAGATCCTCGCCAACCGTGTCGCTGCTCCCGCTCGTGCCGGTGCCGTCGCCCCCGGCGATGTCTACATTCCCGCCGGAAACACGTAAGAACACATCTTGCGCACACACATCGTATAAGTAACTGACACATGGCAGTGGTATGGAACCCGGAAAGACCTCTTTCTTCCAGGCTCTCGGTGTCCCCACCAAGATTGCCCGTGGTACCATCGAAATTACCTCCGACTTGAAGCTCATCGAGGCCGGTAACAAGGTCGGTGCCTCCGAGGCTACCCTGCTCAACTTGTTGAACATCTCGCCCTTCACCTACGGTATGGGTATTTACCAGATCTACGACAACGGCCAGACCTTCGAGGCTTCCGTTCTGGACATTGAGGAGTCCCAGCTGCTCAAGGCTTTCTCTTCTGCCATCAGCACCATTGCCGCCATCTCTCTGGCCTCTGGCTTCCCCACCCTGCCCTCCGTCATGCACTCCGTTGTCAACTCCTACAAGAAGGTCATCTCTGTCGCCATTGAGACCGACTACGAGTGGGAGGAGATTGCCGAGCTCAAGGACCGCATCGCCAACCCCGACAAGTACGCCTCCGCTGGCCCTGCCGCCGGTGCTACCTCCGGTGGTGGTGACGCCCCTGCCGCCAAGGAGGAGGCCAAGGAAGAGGAGAAGGAGGAGTCTGAGGATGACGACATGGGCTTCGGTCTCTTCGACTAAGCTACTCACGTTTGCGATGATATTTCTTGAGAGATGTCGGCATGACTACGGTCTGTCGAAGCACGTCTTCATGATATAGACAGTCAACGACAATACGATCAGATGAACTCAGTCAGACACCATGCCGTGATGCTCACAAAGCATCCGCGTCAGTACACATCTCAGGTAAGCCCAACCCCTTCTCAACTCGCGCTGCTATGATTATTTTCTTTTTAACCCTGAGATCCCTCGGTGAGGATCAAAATACAACAACAACACTCTAATTTTTTAATGAGCACCCTGTCTTTCAAGTCACTCGTTCGTAACACATTGCAAGGCTCGAGACTGACTTTCAACCAGATTTACGACTAGCTTGTGCACCTTGATATGCTATGAAGAGGTGATGCGTACCACCTGACTGCAGCTCAGACAACTTTTGCAAGATGACCCGCCCTTTCTAGGTCTATCCGCACCCAAAAGCACCTCCAGAGCGCCTTGCCTCCTAAGCTTCGACAGACGCTCTCACTTTGCGCATTGCCCAAGTATACGTCCGCGTGTGACCATGCATTCCCGTCGTCGTCTACTGCTAATCCTGGGGCATACTGTCGGAACAGCTTCGCTGCAACGGCCTTTGCTATACCCTTTCCTCGATATGCTTCTTCTGTATGGAGCGTAACAAGAGATCCGTCCAAACCAAGGAATGTCCACGCCACCGCAGTGTCTGTCTCTTCCTCAAACACGCCCACACTCTTTAGTGACATTAGCGTCTTTGTCGTCCTTGGAATGGACGTCCTGGCTTTGACGACATCAATATCTCGCTCACGCATCTCACCCCACCGTAATTCCTTGGGCAGCTCTCGCGTCTGTGGAAGATCAGAAAGCTTGAACAAGAACTTATTCAGCTCTGCATCAGGGCCTGGAAGCTCGGTGCGCAAGACTCCTGCTTCGCGGAGGATCTCGACTACATCGCGGTGGCATGCACCCAGAGTGACTACTTGGGGCATGAGAAGATGTCGCATATATGTTCCTGGTGAGGATTCGTATGCGCCAGACGCTGGTGGGGTTGGGAAGTCTTTTTCATGTTGCTTTGCCAGCTCCAGAGCAGGTAGATTATCGGAACGCATTGGTGGAGTAGCAAGTGTAGCCATGTATTCTAGTAATGCCAATACCGCCTTCTTGCTCTGTTGACGAAATTCCGGTGTTGCATTCGAGTGATGCGGCTGTTCTGCGCTACTAAAGATCCATAGCTCGGTCTCTGGACGCATGGAGCGGTCGAGGTACGCTGCTGCCCAGCATTCCGGGATTTCAGTGGCCGACGGAGGGAATGTGGCGAGTATGTGGGCGTGCTCGGTTCGGTTTGGATGTTGGATTCTGTAGACGAGGTTGACACTGTAGGGTAGAGCGGATTTTAAGGCGCGCCGTAGGACGGGCGATGAGGCGGGGTGCTCGTGGACCTCCATCTCAAGATGTTCCAATAGGGGGAATGGAGATGGTGCCGTCGAAGACGAAAATCACAGGTAAGGCGGTCAGAGAGTCAAATATCTTTTGGGTGAGCTGTATTATGACGAAGCAGTCATGTTATGTACCTTCCCTCTTGGGAATGATTGATGACTAAGATCTATCTGTTCAGCGCGAAGCTTCCCAAGCTTTACCAAGCTTCCAACACACAAATCAGAACAATATCAACATGACAGCAGAGAGGCCTACGGGTCGACAAAGTCGTACTCGCGAGCTCCCCAATCCTTCCTGATATGAATCTTGAACTTGACCTCCGAGCCCACCACCGCTTCGGCATGTTCCTTCACCTTCTTTGCCAATCTGAGCGCCTTCTCAAACCCTCCTGCCTTGTATCAATCATTCCAAAAAATCATCTCCAGGCTATCGGATTGCTCAAGTCTGATCAACGGTTTGGGTAACATTGACCAATACTGCATTATCCGGTCCTTCTATCCCAACTCTTTGTCTAGTATTCACGGTTCTGGAAGTACTGATCGAGGTTGTAGTATTTGGTAGATTGAGTTTCCATCGCGATCTCGAGCTCTGCCAAACACGCTGCTTTCTGATAGACTTCCAGATCAGGCCACCCGTGTTTATGATAAATGGACTGGAGAAATTCTGCAAAACCTTCAGGAATCTGTTCGTGATCCGTGTATCGCTCCGTCCAGATCTTGATGATATACTGACTGCTATGTGGAATGAAGTTCAGATTAATGAAGTGATTCTTCAACATGGTGAAGAAGTGACGGACCGGCCAGCAGGGTCCCCACTCCACGAATATCGACTCATCATCATCATCGGAATCATCCAGCTCATCGTCCTCGTCGCCACTACCATCGTCGGATGTCGGAGGCGTTTCGCGTTCGCTGTTGTTGTTGTTGTCCGAAGCTTCGGCGTCATCCTCTTCCTCATGTACAACAAGGACGCCTCTGTCTTGTTCCGCCTTTGCTTCCCCCTCCAAAGGATACACCAGACGTGATGGCTGAGGATCACACACCTTCAAAATCTCTTCTGGGCAGTCCATAAAATGTACCAGCCCAGTTCTGACGTTCAACAGCATTACGTATTCGCTAATGTTGAGAGCGTACGTAAGACCGACGCAGTATTTGGGAATCTTGCCGCCAAATTGATATTCTTCACTCTCGGTGTCGAGTAGCAAATCTTCTCTTTCTTCTTTCCCCTCCTTCAGCTTGTCCACTGAAGTCTTCCAGACCTGGAACCGGCAGCCTGGCAAACAGTGTGGTCGCGCTGTGCCAAGTTGGTCATTAGGGAATTAGTAGGTGGCGCAGCAGATTTATAACTTCTGGATCTTTGCCTGGAGAATCCGAGACTTCGGGAGTCATGTTTGGCCATCCGCCGGGAGGTGGGTAGATGATGGACGCGGGCACATCCAGGAACATCTTTCCCAGAAACTATTAGAAGTCGCGAATCGCTGCGATGCACTCGTCACGCGAGTAGACTGGCTCCACGGTTCCGGATGAGATTTGGGTAGCAGTGATCGAGTTAGTTGACAAGAGAAGCCAGACCACTATGTGTATTCAGCCGTGCCGCTTTTATGCAGATGCCAAGCGGATTCAAACTATTACGGGTGGAGGTGGGCTGCACGAACAACTTCGTGCGTGGCCTCTGGACTCCGAACGACATACATGACTACACATAAGCCTTTTAGAAGAGTAGATATGACGTTTGTCCGGATATGAAGAAACCATCGAAGTGCTGATACAATCTGTTCTACATGTCCGCGGCAAACAAAGACACAGTCATTCACTGGCTGAAGGTTATTTTTGAGCAACAAGACTCAATGGTCTTTCTGTCGAAACATGGTGGACGATCTCGGGCTTTTCGCTGATATGTCGACGCGGCATCCGTCATTCTACAGCGCAGCGCGACGCCTTTTGCCCATGGGTTAGGCAGCTATCCAGTTTGGTGCCGGAAACATAGCTCTTCTTTTGTCAACTTTGGAGAAACGAGTATCGTCGTATGCGCGTTTTTGGAAAAAGGAAAGGAGCAGAAAGGAGTAGATATCGCCCTGTAGATGATATGCAGCGAGTATTTAGGGCCTTTGCCGGGATTTTCGAGATGGCTAAGAGACCATCAACATGAATCAAGGTGATTTTAGTTGTCGTTTGCACTGGAGCTACACTCCATGAAATTGGACCGAGAGTGCTTTTCAACTTCCAGAAAGAGACAAGCTCCATATAACGCGGTAATTTTTAGGTTTGTGTTCGTCTCACACTATAGCGTTGATGCCATCATATCTTAATACGAACGCCACTGTCGATGAGAGTAAAGAATGAGGGGAGAGAAAGCAGGGCTTCCATAGCTCCAGCTCGTGCTCAGCTTTCATTTCGTGATTTTTCTGGAGAAGGGTAGAGAAGAGATCCATGCACAGACAGCATGTTGTTTTTGATCCACCGGCGGCTTGTTGTAAAACGGATGCAGTAGTATCCAAACCCGAAGGCGGAGGCAGAAACGTTTACCATGTGCCAGAGTTCCTTCAGTCTCCAGGAATGAGACCAGCCGCCCCCTTTTAGTCATAGATTGTCCGGGAATATGGATTGAAGCAGGAAGGACACACAAGGCTAGGGAGTTTTATAACCCCCAAGGGAGATTCGACGGCTCCGTGTCTTTTAATTGGGATAGTTTTCAGACAGCAAAGAGACAATCCATCATGAAGGGGAGTCATATCCTGGATTAAAACGATCAGAGCAATAAACATTTTGGAGTTGGAAGCAGAGGCGCGAAGACGCACATCAACTCTATTTGTTCGATTTTTGGGACAATCACATGGGAATGACCTGTTTTCGTTTCGGAAGTAAAGCCCCGGAGAAGGTAGTTTGAACGATGAAGCTTTAGATCAATAGCTGTAGTGTTTACACCCTCGCGAGGCCCAGAAGCTCGGGCCAGACACCATGTCGCTGTGTATGAGTACATCTTAACAACACACGAAGCAGCCATTTCATCTTGAGTTATCTGTTTTCGACCAAGAGGACAAACATGATGGTTGACTTCAGGTTTTTTTTTTGGAAGGAAAAGCAAAGCCAACATGTATGTAGCGACCTTCTTAGAAAACACGCAGAACAAAACCATCGGCGCATATCTGCACAATTTCGTGACATAGCCACGGTAAACTTTGCTTTCGAGAGAAGAGGAAGAGGCCATTGCATATAACCTTGGAAGTTTTAGTAGCTTTCAACAGGCAATGCGATAGAACATGTCGCGTACATGTAAGAATTTGGTGTTTTACTACACAAGTGTAGCCATGAAAGGATCCGTCAGATCTTTTGTGCTTTTCGAGGAGTCGACCGACGCAGTCATCGAGTCGAAACGTGTCTTTTGGGATTGAGCAAGAGCGCAGCCAGCGAGGCACACGTTTGTCATGGCGGTCGCTTTTTGAAGTCAACATCATAAGCAGCGCCACATGCCTTTTGAAAAAACAGGGGTTTTCAGTAGTTGTTGATAGGAGAAAGAAGAGCAAAGATTGAAGCAAAGAGAGGTTTACATAGTGCGGAGCTGCTAGCGCAAGGCCACATCGTGCTACCAAAACAGAATTTATGCGGAGTGATGATGGTGGTGATGGAATAATGATGATGGCCATTATCAAAGGATATCTTCCAGTCTACGTACCCACTTGCGAAGTCGCAGCTCATAGCTCATCTCTCTTCCTCCTTTGCCCACTTCCTTCCTGCTGTGCTGGTGTCTCCTGCGCCTGTGCCTCATCACGTTTCGCACTCTCCACATCCTCCTCCCACATCTTTTTCTTTGGATTTCTAGGCTTGTCGCTCTCCTGCAAGACAGTCCCATCGCCTAGTGTGACCGGTCCCTCGTCTTCATCTTTCCTCGGTTGTCTGAACTGAGGGTGATCAGGCACCTCTTCTTGCTGCTGCTGTTGGTTTTGTTCCGCCATCTTGCCTACTTGTTGCGAGTACGAGCCTTGTGGACTAGGATCCTGATCTTGCCTATGTACTCCGCCTCCGCGACCGACAGGTATGTAGTGTCCTTGGGCGTTGGATTCGCGTCGGGGTATGCCGCCTGTTGCGCTGGGTTGCACAATCAGGGTTCTTGAGGACGAGGATACCGCGGCGCTCGAAGATGCGGCCGAAGATGCGGCGCCAAAGGGTAGGACGGCGAAAAGGATGCGAAAGGTAAGTTTGACAGGCCAGATGATGAACCAGGTGAGCGGTCCGTATAACCAGCGGCGGAAGACAAGCCAGATGATTGTAGTTATGAGAATGTAGAAGGTAGTCTCAAGATACCACGTGTCGCTCTTTGTGCTCTTCAGGAGTGTCGAGACCAAATTCTTGCTGTTGGCTAATAGGGTGTTTAGATCTGAATACTGCTCCCCAAGATCTTGCAATGCGGCGTTGGTCTGTTCGAGTGTTTCTTGTGCAAATCGTGAGCGCGATAGCTCGTCTTTCATCAACTGGGCTGTCCGGCGCAGAGCAGATGTGACGTCTGAAGAGGCTTGCGCGACAACTTCGCCCTCTGATAGCCCTTGTTGTTGCTTTCTCTGGCGATATGTGGAAGATGGCGTGGAGGAGCCGGATTGTAGGTTTGAGAAGAGGAGTTCGCGCTCTTTCAGCTTTGCGCGGTCGGCGTTGTGCTTGGCTGTGAGTTGCGCTTTCCGATATTGTGATCGCGATCTGCAGGAACGCAGGGTTAGCATGCCATGTCTGGGAACATGGTAAGGGGGGAATGAATCACTCACAACTTCAGGTCCTCGGTCAATCTCGCAAGTAGCACAGCAAGTCTACTTCTCTCACTGTCCTTGCTGCTATCCCGCCTTCGTCCTGTAATGCCTCCTTGTGACGTAACGTCCTCAACCTCTTGCCTCAGGAGTTCGAGTTCCTCCTCGATGCCCTTTAGAGTCTCGTGTATCTCGGCACTGAGTTCCAACCTCACGTCGCCCTCGTCGGAATTATCGAGTGGCTGCGAACCTGGCTGAAAGTCTAGCTTGGCTAGTCGTTGGATAAGTTGGCCTACACCTTTGTTGGCTTCGGAGAGGGTGCTTAGGCGGGTGGTGAGAGTGTGCGTGGTGGAGGGGAGAGGTGCCATTGTGGCTCGGAATGCGGAGAGAGTTTGGTCGATGTATGCAGATGGCCTATGACGGAGATGGCTACGGTGGGCCGTTTGGCGGGGTGGAAGAGCGCAACATGTTTGGACGGCTAGCTGTAGCGTGGCCCGCAGAGAATCTTGAGCACAGACATATCGCGAAGAGGTTGCGACGAGCGTAGGACGTCAATTGCAGCGCATTCCCGCATCACCGCCTATTGGTATGTTGTCGCATCTGTCCATCTTGCGTATTCTCTAACAAGCCATAGTCTGCATCGCCGATTCCCCTGTCCTCCGCCGCCGCAATGATCACCAGATTCCTGACAGACGTCCGCGTCACTTTCAATCCCTTCTCCCCGCGCTCCAAACCCGCCCGCCTCTTCCTCTCGTTAATACCACCGAATGCACGTGCAGATGGCATGAAGATCGAGTCCAAGATGCTGCCACGAGACAGCAAAGAGCCTGCTAGTTTGGGCGTCAAGTTCAGTACGTACACTTTCGGTGCACCTCGGGCAAAAGCTAATAATCGCGTAGAGGATGGCAAGGAGATGAACCTCGACCTCAGCAACATGCGCATAACACAAGTCGTCGAGGAAGTGGATAGACATTCACGGTCATTGGCTCGTAAAGATGAGTTGGCAGGCAATTGAGGGTTCAGCATCAAGACATGAATGTACATATGTATCAAGACACAGAGCATCGGTCGGCGTCACGGCAGTTTTCTGGGTTGGGCTGAGACAAGGCATTGATGATATTCCTCATAGGTCCATATACCGTCGTTGGTCGGCGTTAATCATGCACGTTTATCTATCGTCTACAATCATTCCTAGGCTCCAATGATATCCAGACTTTTGTCATCATCATGGCTCCCGCTAGATTTAGTTGGATGGGGCACCGGAGATGTAGAACCACTTGTCGATGCTGCCATCGATGGGTGCAGGTGCCTTGTTCTCACCCTGGGGAACGTTGAGCGAGCTGGCATCGGTGCGGTCGGGAGAGTGCGAGACGGTGGTGTTGGTGCTAGAGCTTCGTCAGTATAAATCATTCAGGGTAGGTTGCGCACTACTCACAGGCTGATCTCGTCCTTGGGGGTCTTGCCAGTGACAAGCTTCTCCCAGGCCTCAGCACACTCGCGGACAATGTCCATGGCGTACTTCTTGTTCTTGCACTCGCCGGAGAAGGCGAACTGGTTCTCGGGCTTGCCGTCTGGGATCTTGTAGATGCGGAACCACTCGTTTGTGGCGCGGAGAAGACCGGGCAGGTGGCGCTCGACGTCCTCTACGTCGTTGAGCTTGGGGGCCAACGGGTCGTTGACGTTGATGACCATGATCTTCCAGTCGGTCTCGCCCTCGTCGAGCAGAGCCATGACACCGAGGACCTTGACCTGGATCACCTCACCGGGCTTGGCGACAAGCTCGCCAATCTCGCAGACGTCCAATGGGTCGTTGTCACCCTTGGCCTTGGTCTCCTGGTGGACAACATTGGGGTCCTCCCAAGTCTGCACAGCATCAGCATTTGTGTATTGTCCGATATCGGGGTCGCGTCAGCGTACCTGAGGGAAGGCGCCGTAGTTCCATAGGTAGCCCTTGTGGGGGAAGCAGTTCCTGACGAAGCGGAGCTTGCCCTTCTTGGTGTCCTGCTTGATGGGGTTGAGCTGCTCCTCCTTGGAGATCTATAGCGACAGTCAGCATCTTTCGTTTCGCGGAGCCGTACACACGCCAGGGCGCAGCCAATTGGGGTCAACGCACCTCCATCTTCGCGTTGGTCCAGCGGGGCACCTCAACGACCATGTTGAGGATGGTCTGCTGCTCGTTGGCGTAGAGCGGGATGTCGTGCCATGGCGAGACGAGCTGGCCGTCCTTCTCGATGTAGACGCGGTGCTCAAGGGTGTTGGCGGCGCCAACCTTGCGGGTGGTGTAAGACATGGTTGATGGGCTCTTCGTGGCAGCTGTACGGATGGTTGTGGTAGAAGAAGCTGTGGAGTTGAGATGGCCTGCAAGTAGACGAGCCCTAGAGTTGATTTTGTCGTTGAGGGGTCTACTAGTGGGGCTCGCAGGCGGGGAGCTGTGTTGGGAAGGCGCCACTGTGACGAACGTCACCGCCGACTGTCTGCATGGGACAGCCGTCGCAGTGAGGAAGGGAAGCTTCGACCGGGTGATCAATCTCTGGGCGGGACAGAGCCGCAACAACGATTGATGGATGAGCATGCAGATGAAATCCGTTTAGTAAACTACCAGATGGAAGCACAGCCGTTTCTCCTCTCATGCGAAGCCCAGACCGAGGATCAAAAAACATCCGCAAGGTACGGGAGCGGAGACCGGAAGCTCCAACTTTTTGTGCACGGACACCGAGGCAGCTTGTCGCTATCGATTTCTGAGCTTCTTCTTCAAACTGCCATGCATCAGATTACCATCGCATGTCTTCCCATTTCATTTGAGCTTCTCAGGACAATTGCAGATTTCATGTCTCGGTGGTTTAGGACCTTCCTAATCACAAAAAGAAAACAAAGTTGCCGCTAACGCGCTATGTGGCTGCTACCCACCCACCTCAACATCAGTACAGCTTATTTGGCCGCCAGAATCCAGGAGCTACGGTATCATTTCCTGGTCTAGAGTCTTGGACAAGTTCAGCCTCGGTTTCGGCATAAGCTTCATGGTTATCGCACATGACCGGAATGTCATCAAGACTGTGCGGCGGGGGCTCTTCTGAAACCTCTCCCCAGTTCTCGGTATCATGCTCCATTTCGTCGTCATATCCCGTCTGATCATCTTGGTCCAGGTAGTTTTCCTCGGAAGGAAATGGACTCTGGAGAAGGCCTTCATCGAGCTCCCATTGCGTATGAGAACGCTGACGCTGTGCTTGTTGTTCATAGATGCTCGGGCCAGCAAAAATTTAGCATCACCTGTCTATGGTGAGACTGATCCGCAAAGTGTACATTGGGACCCCGATGAGCTGCATGATGCATGTCCCTCGTATTCTGCCGCATGGTCGACTGTAGGTATGATGGTTGCGTCTCCTCGGTATGCCTTCTACGTGACCCTGTGGCCAGACGTCGTTCATGAAACGTATCGTTGCAATGCCGCAAAACCACTCCCAAGTCAGAAGACGTCGGTATCCTTCGTTCTCCAGCAGGACTGTATTCCCTATTCTGGTTCTCCTGTCGATGCCCGGATGAAGCAGTCATTCCTGAGACTGGAGTCGAGTCTGATCGATCTATTTTCGAGGAGCTGGGTAGTCGAGTACGGTGGGTTCCAATAACATGCTTAGGCCTAGAAGGTGGCATTGACGACGGTGAGTAGACATTATCAGTCGCTCGTGGGTTCGTAGATCGATCGACGAGATTCGGTCGTCGCGGAGACGAGGTGTGCTGAGGATAAGACTGTGATCTCGAAGCTCTACTATGTGATGGAGCCAAAGACGAAACCCTGAAGTGATCGACAGACGAGCTATCGACTCTTCGTTTTGTCATAGGAGGAGGTCGAGCTGGTACCTTGAAGGGCTCATTCTCTTTTACTCGTCTGGATTCACTCTCATCATGAAAGTCTACATCGTGCGAACTGGGACGGATGCGAAATTTGTGCGGGCGTGCTGGCGCTGTGCTAGGTGCTTGGATTGACTCTGACCAGGAAATGTAGCTATCACTTTCGTGGCGAGGGCCTCTACTCCCGAAACCAAGATATGGGGCTTGGACTGTAGCCTCAACTATAGGTATAGCAACTTCATCTACCGAGGATCGATCATGGCGACGCCGCTTAGTCTTTGGTGCGGGAGGCTGCGGTAGGGTGTTTGTGTTCTTCTCGAATAATGCCGGTCGTGCTGAGGTAAAGAAAGCGGAGATCTCTCCTTCCTTTATCTGCTCATTGTCCTTCTTGCGTTTCTTCTTGGACGGTTCGGTTCGAAGGACAAGCTCTGGTTCGTCCTTGTGCTTCTGCAAGAATTTCATCTCCGAGAAAACTAGATCGGGTACTGCGACATGTCAGCGGGGGTACTGCAGGAAAGACGTACAGGACGACATCATTCAGGCTATAGGAAGGGAATGGATCACTCACACCCGCGGCCCATGAATGCAGTAGACGTCCGTCCCTTGTTGAAGAGGCCTAGCTGCTCCCGTGGCTTCAACTAGTCCAATCGTCAACACCATACTGTACGCTCCAGACGACCGCATAGACATCTTACAGTCAGGCGATCCCCGGATACGTTCTTGGCTTGGAAGGTCTGCATGACAACAGGTGGCTTCTCGCCCTTCTTGCGTCGAGGCTTGCTGCGCGTTTTCTTTGATCCGCCTCTACGGTCGCGATGCGCATGGGGGCCTGGCGCATGCTGTGGTTCATACCGCTCTGGACGCGTCTTTCTTCGAGGTTTGCGCGCATATCGGCTGCTGCTAGAGCTGTCGCTACATGTCGCCTGGAGCGCCTCGTCAGCACTATCGTCCACTGACTCATGCGGAGAGGATGCAGGCGGACGAGGGTCGAGAATTGAGCTGTCTGATCTGTGGCGACGCTTCCGTTTAGCAGGTTCTGCAGCCTGGTGAAGGTTATTGGACTCGCGCGGTGCTTCCGGCTGCACTGTATCATCTAGCCACTTCCGTATGTCCATGCTGTCCTGCGTCCAAGACGAGCCGTGCCATTAACGAAGCCTGGATCGCCTCGCAGGTCTGGTGGGTCTGATATCCTGGAGGGGTCTCAATGATGTAAGGATATGGTGTGGATGAGCAGATCGTCGCGATAGTCGCTCAGTTGTGTGACGGTAGCTTGGGAGACATTGACGGTGGCAAAGTCTCGTCTGGCACATTGTGACTATTCGAGACGGTCAAATAGAGGACATGACAGGTACAATGGGTGTTGCCATTGTGAGGCTGCCGGTCTTGCCGAAGCCACTGCACTGCTGGAGGAAGGCACGATGCACTGATGACGCCGGTGCGCCGTCAATTTCTCAAACTTCAGTATGCGAAAACGAAGCGAAAATGGCCATCTTCACTCCTCCTTGCTTCAATCTGGGCTGCAGAGTCCTGATATCATTGGATGAATGGTATTGTCATAGAATCGGTCCCCGAGAGCGGTACATCTTGGCATCGTGCGTCGTGCTGCCGCATGCGCTGTGCCGCTATTGCAGGGAACTGACTGCGATGCCTTCTCGTCGCCGACTGCCTTGGAGATACGCAGAATACACGCAGAATGAACACAGATGGATTGAATTAGTCCGCGCTGCCTCGGTATATCTCGGTTAGCGCTGCCAGCTTGCCCGCTTTCTGATGCCGACGGTGACGACTGTGTACAATCTATGGCTGACGAAATATTGCGACCTGCCTCAGCGCAATGGGCTTCGGTCGTATAAGTGCGAGCAGTCGTCGCGTTAAGCACGCCCAGCTTGCTACATCTTGACGTCGTGCGCACGAGCCAATTCGGGACGCAGAGGGCCTGGAAGTTTACAGTAGTCAGGCCCGATCCCCACACCGTCAGACTAAGGATGGCGACCTTGATAAGCTTCTTTGAACCACCATCTTCTGTCCAATACCTGTCCGCCGTTGGACTTTTCGTCACAGCTCGATAGTTTCGCTGTAGCCACGGGCGCAGATCGCTGCTGTCTCGAGCACGCAATCTGTCTATCCGCAGGCTTGTCCATGCACGTATTTCGCAATGACCCAATGACGTCTCCGCACTCATGCTGGCACTCTGAGCAGGACGATGGATCGATGCACCTATCAAAAAAATCGTTTTCTCTGGCTCGTCGGCGGCCCTGTAATTGGGTCTCCCTGGTCTTAGGCTAACGTGGGCTGCATATACCCAGCATGAACAGACAGACACGGGACAGACTAGGGAGCCAGCCAGCCGGCATGTATGGCAGAACCAGTATCTGCACCCTGTCCATCGTCAGGTGCAGGCTCCTAGACAGGGCATTGGGACCGGCTAGCTGCGAGGGGCCAGTTGCGTTTGCCTGCCTGCAGCCCAGGTCTGAACTACCAGACCCCTTGGCTTGACTGGCTCGACGGGCTCGACGGGCTCGACTGGCTGGAGAGACAGATTGCACCCCGTCGCTCGTGGCCATCCACGTCGCCTTATAAACCGGGCCCTCAGCCCTCCAGTCCGTGCGCACAACCTATTACTTGCTTGCAGCCTAGCGCTCTTTCACCTGGTGGAGGGGTACTCATATCGTCGCTTGCCCCGCCAACCTAGACGCTTCACTATCTCTGCTCCTCACCCTGTGCCATCACTTTCTTGCGACAGCCTGCAGCCGACTCTCCCTCCTCTAACTCTTCAGAGCAATCGCTTGCGCCATCATCACCGATACAGCCTGGTGCTACAAGATCAAATGTTCGTTCCGTCACGTTGCTACATACTGCCTGCATGGGAAGCCGCGATGGATTCCTCGCCTTCCTGCACTTTTCCTTCACTCTACAACTCCTGTCACTACCTGTCTTGAACTTCTTTGTATCGCGCGCCTTGTTTTGAGTTGCGAGAGCTAGTATTGAGACCGTTCAGTGTTCGACCCAGACATCACTCTCACCATGTCTAAGCTCTTCATTGGGTAAGTATGCAGCCTTCTCATACCGCGACAGCGACTGACCCTTTACAGAGGCCTCGCATGGCACACCGACGACCAAGCTCTCCGTCAGAAGTTCGAAGAGTTCGGTCAAGTCGAAGAAGCCGTAAGTGACACGCTACTCGACGACTGTCGTCGACAAACTCGAGTCAATGCTCACGCCGTCACAGGTCGTGGTTAAGGACCGCGATACTGGCCGCAGCCGAGGCTTTGGCTTTGTTCGCTATGCCCAGGACACCGAGGCCGATGCCGCTATGCAGGCCATGAACAACGAGGAGTACGTATATCTCTCGCATGCTTCTCCAACAGTGGGCTGTGCTAACCGTCACAGATTCGACGGACGTAGGATTCGCGTCGACAAGGCCTCCGACCGCGCCGGCGGTGGCGCTCCTCGCGGCGGCGGCTACGGAGGCGGCGGTGGTGGATACCGTGGAGGTTACGGCGGTGGACAAGGAGGAGGTAAGCTTCTCTCATGCTACCCATCGCGGTTCTATACTAACTATACCCCCAGGCTACGGTGGCGGCGACCGTGGTAAGAACATCTTGCCTATCTATCCGCAGTGAAAACTAACTTAGTGACAAGGCTACGGCGGCGGTGGCCAAGGCGGCGGCTCTTGGGGACCTTCTCAAGGCGGCGGCGGCGGCGGCGGATACCAGTCTCGCGGCGGCTATGGTGGCGGTCAGGGCGGTGGCCAGGGTGGCTACGGTGGTCAAGAGGGTGGTCAAGGTGGTGGCCAGCAATGGTAAACACCTCGACGGACCACGTCCTACAGTCTTGTGCTCTCAAAATGACCAAAGGTGCGAACTTTCTAGTTGAGGGCAAGAACGCTCCTGGGATTGGAGCTTGCTTTACACGATGGAGATATACTGGACGTTCGCCGACACTGCTCCTCCTCGAATGAGCATCATCATTCTCATGGACGTTTCATATCATGTTTAATGGCAGTAGAGCTGGTTGGTACTGAGAGATGAGATACCCAATGGATCAGGAAGTGCTGCTACTCTGTACTTGTCGCGCTATGAGGGTTCTCGTCTGTTGCACACTCTCTTTACGGCCTCTTCGTAGTCATGGTGGCTTGCCACCTACCCAAAAGCTGTGTCGTTCCAATGTAACCTTGAACTCTACCAGAAGACATGTCAGCAAAAAGCAGCTTACACCGCATTCCAAAAGCAAGCATGCTCACTCACATCCGCCTCGCAAACGGGTACGACGGCCGCAACGGTGCCTTCTTTCTGGGAATCAATGAGATCACATTACCGCTGTTGCGATGAGGCTCTGCGGTCTCTAACGGATTCCTCGACGAGACGCAGGTTCGTGACGATGCCAATTCTCCTCACCACCCGACACATGTGGTAATCTCGACGGCAACTAACCCATTACTTAATCGCATGCACTAGTCTCGCTCTGTGCACATGGAAAATTCAGCAGCCAAGGCAGCGCATTGTGACCACATCTGCATATTGCATACATAGCCGCCGACAATACCTGCTGCAGCTGCAGCACCAACGCAGAGTAGAAAGGCAGGTTTCTGCAAGTGATGGCTGGCCTGCCTGTCTGCCTGCCTGCGGGGAGTCAGGCGCACTCCGTGCTGCGTTTGTATAGTCCTCGCGCACGCACTTCCGCATATTCGAATGACTTTGCTGCTGCCTGAGGTGATCTTCACTTTTGGCGTCAGGCAGCCAGGATGCGACGTCGAATATCTTGGGCTGAGGATGCACGCTGACTGACGACCCCTCCACACCCGTCCTCTATTATCGAGACTCGCGGATATCCAATACTCACACCGCAATCATTTTGCTTGTTCTTCAGCCGGCTGGAACGACTTCAAGTACATCATGAAGAGTTGGAACGGGCTGGAGGATGCGACGGCGCCGGTCAAGCCTGGACAGACCCCGACGCGGTGGCGTGCGCTGCTCTCTGCGACTTTCGTCACACTCGTGTGCCTCGCGGCAGTGGATACCATCTTCCCTGAATTGAAAAACTGGGATCTGTCATCATTTTTAGACATTGAGCCTGCGTTGCATGATGCTGCTTTTGAGTGGTCCGAGGTATGTTGAGAGAGCGTTCCCTAAGTGTCGCACCGCACACGTAGTTCTGCAGCCACCCTGGCCCGCATCTTATCAGATCGAATGGTAGCCTCGATTCAAGTCGCACAGCAGATGGTTACTCTACTTCCGGGAGATGTCTTGAGAGCATGCCGGAGCACCACAGGCAACCTCCGTCATCAAAAGGCTCATTGGAAAATCTGATCGTGATTGGTGGCCTGACCAAGACCCATTCCGGCTCACCAGCATGTCGCTCTAGCCAAAGGCCCAGCACCGTATCAACATCAGCGAACGACAGCTCTCTACAAACTAGTCTGTCGAGGCTGCTTCAGCACCGTCATATTGCTGGCGAATAAAAGACTGACCAAGCTCCAGATCACTCCGACTAAACATTTGGAATTCCACAAGTGCCATGGCAAATTTGAATGCGCAAAACTGAGCCTGCCACTGGACTACTTCAATGGAACTCACCCTGATCATACTGTTAGCATTGCTATCGTCAAGCTACCCGCCAGAGTATCCGTGGATGATCCCCGCTATGGTGGCCCGGTCTTGTTCAACCCTGGCGGTCCTGGAGGATCCGGTACAGCAGTTGCGCTCTTCTTAGCAGGAGGGCTACAACAGATCATAGACTCTAATGTTGAGACTCTAGCCCCCTCGGTCGCCGCAAGATACTTTGACGTTATCGGCTTTGACCCTCGCGGCATCGGTTGGACAGAGCCAGTCGCTCGATGCATGCCAAACCAGCCTTCTTCGTGGTCTTGGAGTTTGAGGGAAGAGACCGAAGGCCTTGTCGGAAGCTCGGATGCAGCTCTTGGTAGACTTTGGTCCATGGAACATGCCTTTGGCGCATCCTGTAAGCTTGCTGAAGAGGAACAGGAGGGGCCGGATATCAAGCAATACATGTCTACGGCGTTCGTTGCCAGAGACATGTTGGAGATCACCGAAAAGCATGCAGAATATGTGGCGAAAGAAGTCGCTCAAAGGGCTGCGCAGAAAGCTGGCAAGCGTCTTGGATGCCACAGCTCCAGATATGTTCCCGGAGAAAGCAAGCTACAGTACTTGGGGTTTTCCTACGGAACTTTCCTTGGATCCACGTTTGCGTCCATGTTCCCCGACCGTGTCGGACGCGTCATTCTCGACGGGGTCGTGAGCTCGTACGACTACACACACTCGTTGGGCAACGGAAGTCTTACAGATGTCGAAAAAGCCATGGCCTCTTTTTACACCTTCTGCTACAACGTGGGTTCTAGCGAGTGTCCGTTAGCCACTATAAACTCCAGCGTTCTCGATATCGAAGAGCGCACACAAAACATCATCGCATCGCTATACCACAATCCGCTTCCCATCGTCTCGGCACAAGGCCCAGAATTCCTCACTTGGTCCGACATCAAATTAATTCTCTTCAGCGCTACCTACCAGCCGCGCCTCGCGTTTGGCTTCATAGCCGCAAGTCTGTTCGCCATTGAACAAGGAGTCGGTAGAGAAATCAACGACATCGCCGAATCCTTGCGCTACAACCACGTATTTTCCTGTCCTGTCGATAGCATCAAGCCACTCGAACCACCAGCTTCCCCTGTAGCCACTACAGCCATCCTATGCAGCGACGGAATCGATCAAACCCATCTGACTAAAGAAGAATTCGCCGCATACTGGGAAATCATGGATGATGTTTCGCCGAACTTCGGTTCCTACTGGTCTATGCTACTGATGCAATGTGCATCTTGGAAGATCAAGGCCAGCTACAAGTTTGACGGTCCTTGGGGCGCCAATACATCGCATCCTATCCTCTTCATCAGCAATACCGCGGATCCTGTCACCCCTCTTCGCAGCGGGCGCTATATGCATAGTTTGTTCCCCGGCAGCAGCCTCATGATTGGCGATCATGCGGGGCATTGCTCCATGTCGGCGCCTGACCCATGTATCCTGAGTCGTGTGAATACGTACTTTCAGACGGGTGAGCTGCCGTCACCAGGGACGGTGTGTGTGCCGCCGCCTAGTGAGTACAGTCTCAACTCGACGGATCCAGATAGTCCGTTCTACGACCCTACCTTGGGAAGTGCGAATGTGGTTGCTATGCAGGAGGATGGAGAAAGTTGGATGCGGCTACGCGATGCTGGTGAGTTGTTCCAGAAGCAGGCTGTTGCGAGTGGTATGTTTGGTCCGAACCTTCCGGGCGGTTCAAGGGCGAAGCGGGTAATGCAAAACATCTTGAGGACTCGCTATCAAGTTTAGAGTAGGTATGGTTGTATGGACATACTTTCTTCTATCTCGAAGTTCCGAGTGGCTTCTGTGAATATATGCCATCCTTGAACAGGAATAACGCAACCAAAGCTCGGCATCGCGCACATGATACTCTATTTCCAAGATGAAATCATCCAAGAAAGATTTATCCCAAACTTCGTGATGAATGCCATCCAACCAGTACCGCCAGTACGACCCCTTGTACAGCGCCTCATGCACCACAAGATCTTGATTTCGCACTCCATCCCCGAATCCCCATGTATACTACTCCATATCTTCTACATACCACTGCGGTTCCGTGATGATCAGCTTTTGCAGTGCAGGAAAACCCCGCAACGTATGGATTGTGTGGGACAGACTCAATGTGTTCCTGCCCTAACATTTCAAAGGTCCGCCCATCAAGATCGATACACAGGATAGCCCTTATTTGAGACGGCGTGAACTTGTGCTTGGGTCGTGGGAAGCCGCAGTCATCATGCCAATAGTGTGTGGCGTACGCAACAGGGTAGATGTGTATTGCGAAGTGTGTGCGGTTTCGGCGAAGATTTGCCGCGACGTACGGGATAGATGGAGGCGGTCCCAGTGAATATCTGGCTTATGTTGCCAACTCTTCGCGCTGATTTCTAGGGCTAAGTCAAATATCTTGTTGCGGAGCTCAGCCGGCAGGCGCAAGAGAGGCGAGTGGTATTGGTTAAGCTGAGCACTGTTGGCACTTAGCATTTTACACCGAGCCGCGCGTTACTTTCAGAGAGGTATCAGACTGACATTGCGAGGCAACTGGCGTTGAGCACGAGGGTGGGTGGTCCTTTGAATCTGTCCATTTCGACGAACGTGGAATTTGATAGAGTATGGATTAAGAAGTAGGAGTTTCAGATCAGTCGAATTAGAGCGAAGTTATTGAGGAAGTTGAGAGTGTAGGTTGAAGAGGTGGTTGAGGTCCACACAGAATATCCGAATCAGCTAGGCGAAGTAGAGTCCTCCAAGATCTAGTAGACATGATGGCTACGTCTCTCTTCCTAAGCATACATATACTGGAGCCACCACAAGCATGTGATAGCCGGAGCCTGAGGTCTTTCTATCCTTGGTTTGCCCACCTTGAGACACCATATACTTCTGCAATTACAGTAATGTTTCTCCAGGCATGAACGTCCTTCCGCGTATAATATGGCTTCGACACCAGCGACAACCATCTACCAGGAACACGTGACCAGAAGGAGGACCAAGACGCACACTTCTGCTGGATTCAACCCGTTCAGTACATTAAGCATATCGAGAAGTGCCCGGAGACAGAAATATCATGTGAACAATGGACAGACTGCGAGAGCGATAACTTCGGGGCTGCTTATGGGGTTGTCTTCCACGACAGATGAATAGATGGTTGTAACCATGTACAGCTTCAGGAGGAAGGAAGGGGTAGACCGAAACTGCGTGGCAGGCAAGAACGAAGTTGTGACTGAAAGTGGCGTCGCATAGGTATTCATGTGGTGCACGTGTCAACGTCAGAGTACGACAGCAAACCATCATCAGAGACGCACGAGCATGACGAACAAGCCTATGAACAGAAACGTTGATTTAACACGAAGCTACTATACAGCCAATCCAACTTCAAAACGCCCAATCACGCCCAGACCCAATTTTGCGTGACGGATATGCACACCGGATACAATCCCATACAATCCAACCATGCAAGTCAAACCACTTACTCATCGTCCTCCTCCTCACTATCCTCGTCCATACCCTCCGCAGCCTCAACCTGGAAGCTAGGCGCCTGATCCACACCCAGATAGCTATCACTAACCAGATAGCACGTCAACTCATGACTACCGGGCTTCTCGAGCGTGAACTCAAGAACAGTCTCCAACTTCCTTAGAATAGGCACCTTCTTAATCGCAAGTAGCGCGTGTTCCTTCTGGTCACCTACAACGAGCCACCAGCTCTCCGTCTTATCGGCAGGGTAGAACGGCGCGTGGACTTCCATCTTGGGCTCCTCGTCTTCTTCGATGTTGCGCGTGATGCGCACCTTGAGTTGGGCGGGCGAGTTGGAAGCGATGGATTCGGGGTCGACGAGTTCGTGCTCGATTTCGATGTTGGGGTAGAAGTTGTTGGTGAAGTTTGCAATATCGGCGAGTTGGCGTTGGTCGACGTCGAGCGCGGAGATGAGCTTCTTGTAGTCTGGGTTCTCGTCCTCGTCCATGGCGTTGATGAAGTCGTCGACGTCGTTGATGCCGAACTTTTGGGCGGCCTTGATTGTGTCGGCGTCAAAGTGGGGGATTTGCTTGAGTGGAGAGTCCTTTTGCCACATGGCTTGGACGACCATCTGGGATAGTTCCATGGCGGACATGGCGTTGAGATGAGCCTCGGATGAGAGAACGTCGACACTTGCGCTGAGGATGTTGAGGACCTTTCGCAGGACGACTTCTTGGTCCTTGGCCAGGTCGATGGGGAGCTGCATGCGCGAGAAGTGAGCCTGCAGAAGAACGAAAGCCTTGAAATGCGGCGTCTCGAAGTTGGGCTCCTGCATCTTGAAGGGAACGCGGTCATAGATGCGCTGGAGGATGTGGTCCTCGTGCCTCCGTATTTGAATGTCTTCAAATTCAGTGGCAGCTGTGATGATCTCCAGTACACCCTTGAGACTTGTCCTGCCGTTGAGCGACATCATCAAGGTCTGCATGGTAATGAACGAGATGTTGTAGTAAGCTGCGATCATGCACGGGTTCAGAGGTGTGATCGCATCCTCGTCTTCGTCATGCTCGATGAGGTTGGCATCGGTCAGCTCCTTCAGGGTCGACTCAACCATGTCGGACAAGTGCGCACTCAGTCCCTCGTGGGACGTGTCGTGGAGGTTGTAGTAGCTGGGGTTGGCGAGTAAACGGCGGTAGAAGTATGTGTATGTTGACCAGTCGACAGCTTCTTGTGTTGATTCGATCGTCTTGGCGCTGATCTCAGCAACGAAGGCGTCGTGAAGGTAATCGGGAAGATAACTTTCAATTGGCAGAGCCTCGTTCAGGAACTTCTTGTAGTACTCTCGCTTCACCGCAGGTAGCATAAGCACACCCTTCGCTGACTTGTCCAGTCCTACTCTGCCGGCCTTGCCGAACATCTGCAGAATATCACTAATGGGGTAATCCACGTATCGATGTTCGCGGCCCTCGTAGAATTGAGTGCCTTGAACAATGACGAGATGAGCACCGCTATCGATTTCCCAACAAGAGTCGCGCGATACGATGAGCACCTGGATCGCGCCAACCTTGAAGAGATGCTGAACAGCCTTCTTGTCGAAAGAGTTGAGAGCCTCGTGGAAGTATCCGATACCATGAGACAGCGACGTAGCCAGCGCTTGCTCGTTGATCTTCTCAAGGATAGGTTGAATCTCAGATACTTCAACGTTAAGGAAGCGATCCTCGTCCTCGTCAGCTACGCAAGCGTTCAAGAGGTCAGCAGCGGAGTTTCTGGCTTGCTTCCTGTTCGGGACGAAGACCATGGCCGGCTTGTCGGGAGACATCTGAGTGATCGCAGAGTAAGTCGGTCTCGCCATAGCCATCATCAAGGATGGGAAATGGGGGATCGTGAACGACTGGATTTTCAACTCAAGCGGTACTGCTCGAATAGCCGGGCTGAAGTTGTAGATGGTGTGCTTGGTCGCACCGATCCATTCGCCAATATCTCGTGCGTTCGACAACGACACACTCAATCCAATGATGCGCAGCTTCGACTCTAGTTGGGTTGCCATTGCTTGCATACGAGACACAACAATCTCGTAAACGTGACCGTTCGTGCCACCAAGCATATGCAGCTCGTCAGCGATCAGTAGAGAGACAGACTGCACGTTCTTTCGACGCTGCCACTGACGGGAGAGTGAGTCCCACTGGGAAGGAGTGGCAAGGATGAGATCACCCCTCTCAAGCAATCGCAGGTCTGCCGTTGTCTCGCCAGTGAGCTTGACAACGTCCTTTCCTCCACTAAGACCGGTCAACCGCTCATTCCAGTTCTTGTACTGGTTGTCGACGAGCTCTTGGAACGGTGCTAGGTAGACAATGCGACCTTCGTTGTTGGTAGCCCAGTGCCGCAAAATGGCGAACTCGGCGCAAATAGTCTTTCCGATGCCTGCCGACGCGCCAATAAGAGCATTGTCATCTGTGGTATACAAGGTGTTGAAAGTCTGTGTCTGGACCTTGTTGAAGCGACCAATGTTCTCGTACAAGCCCATGTATTCCTTCCTTTTCAGGGCAGAAACAGGCAGAGGTTGCAGATCCAGAACAGGAGTGTGTGCAGGGAATTTCGCTGGCAGAATCAGCTTCTGGAAAGAGACAGCGAGCTTAGTCTCAGATGCCATCCATCGGTCGGAGAGAACGGTGATGAAGTAGTTCGGTGGCATGGGCTCATCAATGGGCACAGTCATCTCCAGCAGGTGTTCGTTGGCGTCGCCATCGGAGTAATCCCTTCGGAGGATGAAGGTGTCGTGGAACAACACTTGCTCGCCGTCACAATCCTCGACCAGAATCCAGAACGCTTCTGAGGCTCCGTGTAACTCTGTGTCCCAGACGAAGTCAGGTCGGATCGTCAGCTCCAGACGGAGTAGTGACCTTGTCACCGGTCGTGGCGTCGCTTCGATCTGGAGGCGCGGGAACTTCTCCACCAGACCACAGACAAGTTTGCCGGCCTTGGGCATACCCAACAGCTCACCCATGCTTGGCGGATCGAGGCCGAAGTAACTCGACCAGCCAACGTCGATCCGCTCAGCCTTCTGCACAATGTCGCGGGGACACGTGGGGAATTGGCGAAGAGGTGTCATGGTCGGCCACATGCGCTTCTCAGCCATCTTGCACATGTCAAGAGCAAGCTTAGCGACCTGTGACCAGCCCTTCTTGAGACAGATCTCAAAGATGGCGCGAAGAATACGTCCAGCGGATTGTGTGACGTAAACCAAGTCAGCCATCAGCGCCAACCCTTCCAGTTTAAGGCGAGAGATATAAGCTTGGAGAAGGACGTTAATCTTGGCTTGGGCTTCCTCGAAGCTCTCCTTGACTGGGATCGGGACCTTCCCTAATAGCTTCGCAAGCTCGAGCTTCTCATCTTGACGGACCGGAATGTACTTGAACTCTTCACTGAGTGCGAAGACACGGAATAGCTCGATAGCACTGATGCCGGGCTGGATATGCATGTTGTATGTCGCCATGGAGTTGTGGGTGATGTAGTAGTGGGAGGCGATTCTTCCAAGCTCCGTGGGGTTGAGCGCACCAGTTTTCCTGTCATACTTGATGAGACTGCATTTCTCCAGGACATGTGCAGCGGCGTGAACAAGGTCCACACGTCTTTGCTCCAGCACAGTATCATTTTCGTATTCTGGTCCAACTCGGTAGAGAGCGGGCGAACGAAGCATACGGACGAAGAGGTACGTGTAGCCGAGCCAGTCCACCGCTTCGTCCCTGTTGCGCACGTTACCGAGAACAATCTCGGCGTTGAGGTTATCGGCAAGCTTGCTGATGAGCTGCGATTCAATAGGTAATTGCTGGTTGAGCAAAGACAGGTAATACTGAATCTCAGACTGTGTGGTGATGATGATACCCTCTCCGTAAGTATCATATTGAGGTCGACCGGCACGACCCAACATCTGCAGGACATCCTGAGGGCTGAGTTCGACCCAGCTACCCTTTTCAGGAGAGTAGATCTGCGTTCCCTTGATAATGACGGTATGCGCGGGCAAGTTGACACCCCAAGCCAGTGTTGCTGTGCACACGAGTACTTGGATAGAACCATCGGCGAACAGATCCTCCACGGAAGTACGATCCGCTCGCGACATACCAGCGTGATGGATACCGAAACCATAAGGCATGACGTCCTTCAGGTCTGCATTTTGAACCGACTCAGATTCTTCTCTCAAGATCTCCCGACTGGCAGCATCTGACCGAAGAATCTTACCTATTGACTCCTCTTCGAGTGCCTTGTCACGAATGTACTTCGCAGTCTTGGCGGTTTCCTTTCGGGAGTGCACGAAGATGAGCATCTGGTTGCGATGTTCGCCAACCTGTTCCAGAACCTTGGTATAGCAAACGTCGTTCATCGTCTTCAGCTGCTTGATGGCTTTCTTGTCTGTAACACCAATGAACTCCTGCTTCAACGGACACGGTCGGAAGGTAGCGTCGAAGTGGAAGAGACCCTTGTCTGGGTCAATGCGGAGGAAGCTTGCAACATCGCGGTAGTTGGGAAGAGTGGCACTCAGTCCGACAATGCGCACATGGTCACCTGTCTGCTCACTGCGTCGCAGAGTTCTGCTCACTATACTCTCAATGACCGGACCACGGTCGTCGTGGAGAAGATGAATTTCATCAATACAGATAAGGCGAACGAGGTTGATGTAGCTGGTATCAGTAGCCTTGCGGGTGATGACATCGTACTTCTCAGGGGTGGTGACGATGATCTGGGTTTCCGCGATTTGCTGCTTGGTAAGTTGGCGATCACCAGTAAGTTCAGAGACCTTGATGCCGTAGGGCTCCAGACGCTTGCCAAAGTTACCGACTTGTTCAGCCACAAGAGCCTTCAGTGGGGCGATGTAGATGATTTTGAAGTTGTCAAGCGCAATCTCTCCAGTCGTGGGGTTTCGGTGCTTGCCAATCTCGCGAAGCATTGTCAACATGGCTACATTGGTCTTTCCAGAACCAGTGGGTGCGCAAATCAACATGTTGCCGTCATCGTTGAACGCTGTCGGGAAGCACTTCGTTTGGATACGGTTGAGCGATTTCGAGTTACCGAAACCTGGACGCGCCCAATCTGGTAGCTCGGAGGTAGGCATCAGTGCTGGCTCGTTGGGATCGCGCTTCGCTTTCGGCGCAGGGACGTGGATCTCCTCGTAGCCCTTGAACTGGCGGCGCGTGGATCCTTGAGGCAGCTTAACGCTTGCATTCGTCATGAGATGGTTGCCCTGATCGAACACAATGTTGTCCAGATTTACCATTCGGCTCGATGGTTGCAGGCCGCCCACGATACCCTCCGGTTTCGCGTCGGCCATTTCCACGTCGTTTGGTGCATCTGGAAGGCTGATATCCTTGAGGTTGAACTTCATCTTTCCAGTGCCAGCATCAGCGCCATCTTCAGCCTTGATGCCAGTCTCTCTTGCGCGCAGCTCTTGCAGAATCCGTTGCTGACCGGCAGCTCTCATCTCCCGCTCGACAGCTGTTCGCTCGTCGTTGTCTTCAGCAGCCCTTCGCCACCTTGTCACCCACACGACCCTATCGCGGTTGAGTACGAGTTTCGCAACCAGCTCGTGATGTTCGTAGTCGAAGAGATCCATCAGGTCGTTCTCGATTTCACGCAGCTCCTTCTCCTCGCCATCTTCCGAGACTCCTGCGAGAAACTTGAGCGCTTCCTGCGTCTTTTCCTGTTGGATATGCGCATCCTCGTATATCTGTCCAATCTGCCGTTGCAGCCAGTAGGCATCGATCTCGTGTGCGGGTATGAGTTGATCTGCGCCGTTTTTGCTGTCTGAGGTAACCGTGTCGCCCTGTATTATCGTCTCTTCGGTGTCTGCGAAACCTCCATCTTTCTGGTCCTCATCCTCGCCAATCTGCTCTATGGGAGCCTCTGCTTCGTCTTCTTCGTCCGATGAATCGGCGTCTCGCACTTCGAACGTCTGAGGCCCGTCTTCGTCCTCCTCTTCATCGTCAAACACGACGGCTACACCTTGGTTGTCGCCATTGTCAGCGCCATCGCCGTCTGCCATTTCTTCGTCACCTTCCTCGTCGTCTTGCGCATCGTAGTCGGTGATCTTCTTGGCCAGGTTCATCAGCTCGTTGAATTCCTTTCCGCCCATGGAAGTACCAAGAAGGTCGTCCACTTCCTTCTTCTTGTCGAAGTCCTTCATGGTGTCATCCTTGAGATATTCGAGAACCGCATCGGCCGCACTTCGTGTAGTCGCAGGATCGACATCGCCGAGAGATCTGCTCACGAGGGTTGTGATGAGATCGAAAGTCTGGCGCGTCGCAGGAGTCCGGGGTTTGTATGTGAGGCCTTCGATATTAAAGTCGGCTGTCGCAGTGGCTCCGAAAGCACTGGTGCCATCGTCCCGTTTCCTCTTGCGCTGCTCTCTCTCAAGAACATCGCCACCCTCATTCAGGTTTCCGCGCTCGACGCCAGGTCCCTTGAGCTTCTTTGTTGCCTGCGCATTTGCGCTGTCACGCGCTGTGCGTCCGCCCATGTCTCTAATGTTGATGCGACCTGCCAGCGACTCGGGGTCGCCGGTGTGCTCATCCTTCCCACGGTGTATCAAGCGTCTGTCGGCCTGCAAGACCAAATTTGACATGGCCGCATACTTGTACTGCCCGAGGTTCTTCTGGTCGTTCGACATGGTCGCGGTGGGTATCGTGGTTTTGCGCGGCTTGCGCTTTTGGGATCGCCTTCTCTAGTTGGCGGCGCGCAAATTAAGGACTGTGTACAGCGTATTCTCGTGTCGCCGTGTCCTCCAAAGTGAAGAAAAGGAAAAGGCCGTGCGATTGATATAAGTCGGGCTGTGGGCGCGCCCTAAAGTTGGTTATATAGTGAGAGCGCTGGAGGCAACGACCCGAGAAAAATGATAGAGCTCCCGACAGGCAGCTAAGCACGCACGTGCCATGACCATTCATCATGACCCTTCCACATCCCATACGCGTAAACGGACACCACTCTCCTTCGAATGCTAATTGAGTATCACAACTCGTTTCAAAGATGAAGAGATCCTTTTTCATTATCGTGATACTACATTTACAGATGTATGATGTGTCTCGAGGGTACACGATGGACAGCACATGCTTCTTCGTCCCGTGTATTGCATCACAAGAGACGCGTTGATAGCCCTATCATCTGGACATATGCACTGCTATGCTGCAACGAGGGTAAAGGAACGGATAAACACGAAGCCACGCCCTCTACAGTGGACTGGTCTCCAATCATGAGTTCCTCATCTTCTATCTTGCGCCTACATGCGCCAGCAAACAACTCCTATGCTTATGCTGATATACACTTCATCTCCTGACACCCAACGCCCCGTCAAGCCACTCAACCTCCCTCAGCCTTCTTCTTCTTCTTATCCTCTATCAACTCGCAATTGTCCTCAGGCACCTCATCGTACTTATCCACCAAGAACTCCAAGATATCCTCGCTCAAATCACCCTGCACTGTGATCTCCTCGCCGCCACCCGGGATCTTGGTGACACTTGACCCTGTCGCGAACTTCTTGCCAAAGTCCTTTGCCACCTTCTTGATGTCGAGACCAAACGCTTCCAGACCCTGTACGGCGGTGACGTATTTCCGCTTGTTGCGTTCGATACGTTTGATGAGAATCTTGGACGATGCGCGGGTCTCGGCTGCGCGTGCTTCGGCTGTTGCAGCTTTGGCGGCTTTCTTCTGTGCGTCCTTTTCGGCGCGTTTTTGGGCGTCGACGGAGAGGGAGGCCATGTTCTGCTGTAGCGCTTCTAAAGAGGAGTTAGCAGACCGCATTTTGTGTGCCGTGATAGCGCGCCATAGGCTTCCCAACATGGTGTACTATACGTACCTGCTGAGTACAGCTTCGCGTGCAGATCTGGATGCGCCTCTTCTAGCCATTCCTCACATTTCTTCGTTGTTCCGCCAAACTCGCAGTACTATTTGGTGATCAATCAGTCGCTAATTCCCGTCCAACGCGTCTCGGTGTCATACCTACTTCAGGTGGAAGACTGCATACTGCCTCTTATTAGCCCTAGTCGCAGAATGAATCGTGGGAATGCTTGCCTCCGCAGTAGACGACGGGCTTCGGTAACGCGTCGGCTGACATTTTGTGAAGTGTGATATAGTTCGGACTCTCAGGTACTTTGAGGATTCAGAGAGTGCTGCGTTGAGTGGTGAGACTGGGTGTCGACGCGATGCTTGGGAAGAGAGAGCTTGGTGGGGCAGAAAGCCCGCGTGGCGGGGTATGCGAAGCGCAAGGGTCCTTCAACGCGAGTGACGCCCGCGGACTTTCACCAAACCACTAACTTGGGGCTGAATGATTACATTTCCTAGTCGTTACTGCTCATTACTTCTAACGACTACTTCATCTGGTTCTGCAAGATACGAATCTTTGGCTCCATCCGTATCTCAGCCCAGTAACCTCTCAACACGCTATTCCTTAGCAACCCTTCCAGTTCATGCCATATTGCTGCTGCCTTCGACGCCCACTTATCTTGTGAAGTGGTCGTATCCGACTGCTCGACCAGCGAGCCACTTTCTTCTCCTGGTTTCAGAAGCCTGAGCCCGCCAAACCCATACACAGTATGGACCACTTCCCAGCTACCAATAACCTTCTCTGGACTCTCAGCAAGAACATAGTCGAACTTGGTCCAAAACATTGGGTCTAGCAGGACGTTTGGGTCTTCGGTCTTGTCGTATGTCCATGTTCTGCTGTTCAGAGTATCCTGTGATTCAAGGACGTCGAGTACAGTCTGTGGTCCTCTGTGGCTCTCAAGGAACCGCGTGACGCCTGTTTGGCAAGCAAGATTATCGAAGTATACGTTGAAGTGGTTTCTGGACGGGTGATCCATCTCTTTGTGTAGAGTGTGGAGGGCCTCACCTCCAGGGTAGTTGAGACTGGAAATACCCAGGATCCCAGTAGATGCGGCGAACGATACCAAAACTGATCCTAGTAAAACTAGGCTCAGAGTCGCGTATACGATTGACTTTGTTCTGCGGTTCCAGATCCAGGCTGCTCCATCTGCAGCGACGGCAGTCAAACCTGGAATCACGTAGAGAATGAAGCGCCATTCCTTGTGCGGAAGAAAGCTGTACAGCGCGACAAAGCTGAGCAATGGAATAAGGAGATCCAGGCTTCGTCTGGATGTCGATGTGTTCAGGACTGCAACTGGTATGCAAAACAGATACGTTGCAGGGTTCAGTAGTAATCGTGGCAAGGCATTTGCGAAGTAGTAATGCCATGGAGAGACGCCCCAGTCAGCCGAATGTCCTTGGATAGTGTTGTAGTAGAACCCCGTCCACTCGGGCCATAGCGGGAAAGATTGCCAGAAGAACGAGTCTAGAGGAATAGTGCAGAGAAGGCCGATGACGAGGCCACCAAGTCCAGCTGGGATGATGACGCTTGTGATGGATATCCTCCGAGTGATGAACAAGTAGATGGTGATTGTTCCTACCAAGATCGCTAGCTCCGAGCGGAAGACTACACCGGCAATCGTGAGCAGATACAGGCACAGCCTATAATATCCTGAGATGTTGGAGGTACTCCATGGTACAGTGTATGCGAGCAACAAGCTCCGCAAGGCCAAATTGCCTAAGTCGATATAAGCCAATAGATGTACGAATCAACTCGCATAACTTACTGAACACGAAAGCGAACATATTAGGCAGCGTCCTTGAAGCATAATAAATAGCATGGAACTGGCTGGCTTGGAACAGCGCATACCAAATCCCAGCACTAGTACCAAAAGCCTTCTGCACGCCTCTCCCAAATGCAATGAGCGAAGCCGCGTTGAGCAGTCCAAGTACTCCTCTGACTACACAAACACACAATCAGTCCCATTACCATCCATCCAGAACCCTCAAATCCACTCACCGAGCAATTGCACCTGCTCCATATCCCCCAACAACCCAACCACAGGCCTACTCAACCCACTCAAAACCAACGCGCCCGCAAACGTCCTCGGCACACTCCCCGGAAAACTAACATGATCGTAATTCGCCGTCAAGAACTGATCTGCATTCTCTGTAGGTATCCCGTGGACCAGAATGTCATGTATAGCCTGGATATTGAACGACTCTTCGACTTTGGTGTACGGCGAAACGAACAGGTGTACTAGAACGAAAGTAGGTATGAGGAGGAAAAACGGCCATGTTGAGAGCGCCATGGCATTCGCGTTGTTGGAAGAGCTTCGAAAGCTCTGTCGAACGAGAGATGGCAGGCGCGATGGAGTTGTTGGTAGAGGATGACGACGGACGAATGAAAGGTGTGAGCCGTTGCTTTTACATGATCGTCCAATCACGTGTCTTCGCGATCCACCACATCCGCAAACAACCCTAGTCGACGCGAAACCTCCTTCCACGTCTGCAACGTCATCCTGCCTTTTCTCCCATCTCCCATCAAATCATCAACTCCACCCAAATGTCCCTCGCATGATGGAAATCAATCAATGTGCGGTCCCGGCTGTCTACGTCCTCATCTTCTTCCTCGGCTATCCCTCACAATGGCTGTTGGTGCAGTTGGAGCCGGCTCCGCTCACGAAGAATGAACTCATCGTATCGAATGTGATTTTGGTGTTGATATGGATTACGTATACGAAGAGTGTTTTCGTTGATGCCGGGACGATACCGAAGGATTGGACGCTGAAGAAAGAGTTGGGTGCTGAAAAGGGAGATGGGCATGGCGATGTATCTGGGAAAGAGACTGGTTTGGATGGCGTAGGGAAGAGCCGGAAATGGTGTCGGAAGTGCGATGCTGCGAAGCCGCCTAGAGCGCATCATTGCAAGGAGTGTCAAAGATGCATCCCCAAAATGGACCACCACTGCCCCTGGACCAACAACTGCGTCAGCCACACCACTTTCCCCCACTTCCTCCGTTTCCTCCTTTTCACCACCCTCGGCCTCTCACTCCTCCAATACTTCCTCTTCATCCGCCTCTCGCATCTCTGGTCCAATCTAGACATGCCCTCCTACCTCGGCCCCACGCCCTTCCAACTAGGCCATTTCTTCGCCGTCCTCCTGACAAACTCAATCACCCTTTTCATCCTCGGCGTTCTTCTACTGAGAAACCTCTGGTGCCTGGCCATCAACCAAACCACAATCGAAGGCTGGGAGATTGAGCGCCATAGAACGCTTCTACGCCGTGCGCGACAGTATGGCGGTTACCTACCCAGTCCCGACGGAACCAAGATACGCATCAAGAAACAGGAATTCCCGTACGATATTGGTATCTGGTCGAATATCGTACAGGGCATGAACTCGAGAAACCCGTTGCAGTGGTTTAACCCCTTGGCTCCTACGCCTAGTTTGAGCAGTGGCTTGTCTTTTGAGACGAATGGCTTTGAGGACGAGGGCACGGTTTGGCCGCCTCCGGATCCGGATCGGGCTTATAGGAGGAATGCGACGGCGGTCAATGCGGATGCATTTCGGTTTGCCGAGTCGGAGTTGAATGCTGAGGATACTGTTGCGGCGTTCAAGATGAGGCAGGCAGAGGATGCGGTGAGGAGGCGGAGACCGTATGCTGGGGCTGTGGAAAGAGATGTGGTGGAGGATGACATGGATGGGGAGGCGGGGAGGGATGGTGAAGACTATGCGTATGGGGATGATGCTAGTGATGACGTGGAAGAAGAAGAAGAAGAAGAGGAGGAGGGTGGGAGAAGAAAGGATGGTAAAGAGCGGGAAGGCGAGGCAGCTTGGCGAAACTCAGAGGGCGAACGACTGAAGGATTTTGGAGTGGATGAAGATGTGGAGTTCTACGACGAACAAGACGATGATGTACCTTTGAGCCAACTCATTGCTCGGAGACAGGCTGCAGCCGCCAACAGTCATTAGAAGTGCATGTACAGCACCAATGTCACGCCAATAAAGAGACATTGACTTCGGTGTGTTGTGAAGCAGATAGTATTTGATCCAAAGGATATAACGAATGTTGTAAAGCTCGTGTGAGCAAGAAGAAATATCTAGGCCAGCAATCCGGCAAAGCGAAAAGGTATCGTGGTTGCCCATGTATGTCCTGACCTACTCCAGCCAATCGTAACCCATCAAAATGTTTGTGCACCTGCATCCCACCCCTGATAACCTCAAACATGATCCACCGACTGTGAGCGACAGTTGCGCGTTTGTTACAATCTGACCATAGCGAAGGTGTCCTTAACTTCATCACTACTCCTTCTTCGGGAGAATTTCCTTTCCGGTGATCGGGTAGATATACGACTGCTTCTGCTTCTTGCAATCGTCTTCCTCCTCTTCTGGTTCCTCTTTGATCACCGGAGCCTGAGACGCCTAGTACTCGTTTCCGTTGCCGTTGTGGACCGTGTAGCCAAAGGCTGTGCCGTCTTCGGTCATTTCGGAGTCGCCACTCAGTACATGTTGCTGATTCTCGGGACCTGCACCGGGCCCGCCGGGCCCTGCGGAACCGAACTGCCCAGTGGGTGGTTTGTTCTGATTTGCGAGGAGGGTCTCGTACCACCAATCAATACCAATAGTTCAGATAAACGTTTCGGCCAAATAGTAGGCAACAAAAGAAGGACAAGGGGGGAATAGGAAAAGTTGGCAGCTTACTTCGCGATACCTGGACAGGTAGATCTTGAGGGCTTCCGAGTAGTTCTCGAAACCGAGCGACGTCATGGCGAAGAGGATGTCCTCGCCATTGACGGTTTTGCGCTTCTCCTGTTGGCACTTTTCGGAGGCTGATAACAGAGTCAGTGGCGGTCTCGGACAGGGCTGGAGTGAGACATACCCTCGCTGGTGATGAAGGAGATGAACTCGCTCACGCACTCCTGCATGCATTCTTTCGCCTCTTTGGCGATCTTGGCGTTTTCGGGGAGCGCCATCTTCATGATTCGCGCGACTGGAGCAAAGTTACGTATGTTAGCATCCGAAGCCGTGCTGCTATTCGCATTTGTACTCTTCGGCGTCGAAAGGGGCGGGGAGAGGGACGAGTGTGGAGAAGAAGACGACATTTCGCAGGCTGCACGCCGGCCGTTTTCCAGGCACACGGCAGACCTGACTGGCTGCCGAGTTGCGGTGATTCGACGCAGAGACGCGCGAGTCGAGGAACTGTCGGCATCCAGAGACGCCCGTTGGAGCAATCCGTCGACGTGCAGATGGGAGCGAAACGGTGCGCAAATCAAAACAGCGGGAGGCAGCAAGGGAAATAGACGTACCATTGGCGATTGGAAGCCATCGGTCTTGCTCCTTGACCTCGAATTCGTAACCTATCTGAGCTGTGTTCTCCTCTGTGTTCCTGTCCATGGGCTGTTCTTCGTCAGGCGACTGGACTGGTTCCACACCCTCCTGCTTTGGGGGAGAGGCCGACATATTATCGGTTGCCTGCTCGGAAGCGTATGCGCTGGCGACTATTTCGTTGGCGACCACGTCACTGGGAAAGACGACGGGACAACTTGGCGGCCGAGTATGCAACCTGCGGTCAGTGGTGTAACGAGAGGCCTGGCGAAGGAAGCGGTTAGTGGCATGCAGAAGCCAGCTTGGGATGCAGCTAACGTACGTGGGGAGCTGCGACAGCGGAGAGCACGGCGCAAGGGAGCGTCGAGTGAACTACGGCTCGTGGTAACGCCCGGAACTACCTGCGATGCTGGCGTCGCACCCACGATGAAACTGGCAGGAGCGCTTCGCGACAGTGGCAGGCGCGACCGCGATCGGGGGAGTCGCGACACACGGCGGAGTTGGTGTGTTACGGTCGGCGGGCACGATACCGCGTGCGACAGTAGCGATTCACAGACTGTGTCTTACGAGTAGCGGTGGGACGATATGCAGGCGTACCGGCTTGAATCAAGGGCGTTATTCGGGCGCAGTTAGGCGTGGCAGTTGTCAATCGAGACTTGACGTCGCGACGTTGGAGCAGTTGACGACGCGCCTACCAATAGGAGCGCGAGGAGAAGATGGGGGAGGATGGAGCTTGGACGCGCGATAGCGTTGGTGCGCGGAGAGATGGTGGATTGGGGATTTACCTCGATGGGCGAATCGAATGGTGAGAACGAAGAGAAATTCGGCCGCCCGCACCAATCCCGGCCCGTGCCGAAACAGCTCCCCTCACATCATGCCTAGCAACATTGAGCCCCGAACTCGCTTTCAAACGCGCAGCTTTCTACAATACCGTGCATGTCCTTCACTATTCGGACCGGTCATAGCACCGGCATACCGTCTGTTCGGAACCTGACCTACTACTGCAGACTTCTCAAGCTAGCTGGCGATCCTGTATGCGAGTCGCATCAGCAGCTCATTCGGCAGCCCTACCAACATCACCCCACGTCCTGTATCTCTGCCGCGTCTTCACCACTGCAGCCACGGATGACATTCAGCAAGAACGTGTGTTGTCCAAGTTTCTTCTAGCATGATCCCAGGCAGTCATCGACGTCAGTAGTCTTCGCTGTTCGTTGGGCTCTCGCGCATATTGCATACAGCCTTGCTCCAGCTTCACTAAGCCAACACGAGATGACGTTCAAGTCAGCCACTAACGACTCTACCCCCGGACCGTTCGTCATTCTCTGTGAAGACTTTGCCGGTAGCCTATGAGCTACGTGTCCGTTTTCATGGGTGAGATGGTGCAGATCAGTGCGTCGCTTTGAGTGGGAGCCGACTGGACAACGCATCTTGCAGAAACCCCTGGGTTTGGGAGCACGTGCCGGGACAACGGTGCATTCCTGAATCAGTCACTCCAGGTAGACACGTACGTAGTTGGGAGCTTGTGGGGTCTTTCAGGCTGCATGTGTGGCATCATTGGTACGATGGTAGCTGAAAGCCCAGCTACTCGGATCTGTTGTGGCTGGTTCAATCGTGACATTGCAAGATTCTCGCATAGTTTGTGAGAGGTATAGTACACGATCCATATAGACCTTATCCACCGGTAAGCTCTTCGTTGTCATCAAGAGGCTGTGCTGTTCTGTCGTGCTGTTCTGTCGCGGCCTGCTGTGCAAAGATCGGAAACCGGAGAGACCCTATTACGTCTGTATGCTCCGTATCGGAACATGCAGAACCCTTTGTCAGGGTCCCAATCTATCTATCCCATTTCCAGTCACCAGAGATATCGTTGCCGTACTCGTCTGCGTCATCTCATGTGGCTCCCAGCATATGCCGTGTGCCCATCCTGTCAAAGGGTTGTTGCATCACTGGTATCTTCTACTGCCCTGGCTGTTGGACAACTTGGACATTGTTCTTCTTCTGTAGGGAAAGTTAGTTGTGCGATATTGAGATAGGAGCTGGGCCCACGCTGTACGAGATCCCAGCGCTACTGATGACGTACCTTCCACTTCTCCATCTCATCTTGCTTCAACTTGTACTGCTTGACTAGCTCTTCCAGAGCCTGCTTAAGGCCATCAGAGTTGGTCTGCAGGATCGGCACAACGTCTTTGACCGTTCGCTCGGTCAAGACACCGTTGATCATACGAAAGCATTTCCGGTCTCCTGACAATGGTTGCAACGTCTCCAATACGAGTCTGGTAGCCGTCAGTACTGATTATGTTGTAATGAGAACATGTAGCGGTATGGTACATCGGAACTATCAAGTCATGGAGCAATGCAAGGGACGAGCGGTGTGAGAAGGTTTGAAAGATCGCCGGGTGTGGCTTCGTAGTGATGGTGCTACGCAACTTACTTGTGCTCTTCTGTTTCTTGCTCGATATCGCCAATCTTTGAGGCAATTGTTTGGAGTGTATTCTTCGAAGAAGTCAATTTGCATTCACGCCTTTGCGAACCGTTCATACCTTGTAGTTTTGATATGTCGTCTGGAGCTCTGATCTGGGTCAGAGAGGGCGAAAAGATCAATCAATATGACTACTGACCTTGTTGCTTCTTCAGCTGCTGCTGGGATGCCATACTGACGATATGACTTTTGACGTGTGCCCGGTGGTGAGGAGTCGGTGGTGGTTGCGGGGAACTCGGGGGAGAAAAGATTCTTGATTCTATGCGTACTCTGCCCGGACGAACGTCTAAAGAGAAAGGAACTGTTCGCTTTGGATTGAGGGCAGAAAACGGTTATATGAGTAGAATTGAAAAGTCTCGCGAGTCTTTACGCGTCCGACACAAAGTGGCTCCGAGTGAAGGCGCGCGCTCGGACGCAGTTCACGAGATCTTCCACGATTCGATTCGTCGGCAACTTCAACATATCTAAGTACCCGTCCGATCGAGCCCAGCACCACCACCCTCTCCTCCAAGTCCTCTCAAACATCCCACCAACCTCCCTCCCAAACAACACGTCCTGCGCAAACCCACAATGCATCCCCATCTGCACACCGAAGAAGTCCAAAAGAGTGCGCCACCCCTCCCCCTCTACGCATCCCACAGCCGGCACTTTCTAACACCCACGGAACAGACTGCGCAGATGTCGTCGCAGCCCTAGAAGAATGCCATAACCGCGGTTTCATCTGGAAAGTAACAGGGAATTGCACCGACGCGAAATACAAAGTCAACATGTGCCTGCGTGGCCTGCGACTCGAGCGGACGAAGCAGAATCGCGAGGCCGCCAAGGAGAAGAGGGAGAAGATACAGAAGGTGTGGAAGGAGTTGGATGAGAACAAGTGAGCATGGAAAGAGGAAGAGCAAGTGTGAGGTGTGTTTTGGGCTTGTGGAGGGAATAGATCTAGAGGAAGAGCAATTGCATACGGATGGGAGTTTACGGATACGAACAACAGCGAGCTTTCAGGCTCTTGTATTATATCGAGGCGGAACTCAGGCGTTACAGGAGCGTTCATACACCTTCATGAACGATGTTCATAGTATTGCTATACGGTTGGCCCAGCATTTCCATGCTGAAGCTAGATACTCCAATTCTGACAAACGCTACTCATCATCAGAGTCGTCGCTAGATCTACCGGCTATGGGTGTAGTACCAGCCAAAGGCGTAGTACCCAAACTATCCAACCCCCTCTCTGTGATCAAGCGACCTCCCTCAACACCGTTTGCGGGTAAAGCGGGAAGCCCTGACTCCTGGCGCAGCTTCTCGTACTCGTCGCCCGTCTTCTGCAGTTGTTCCTGGAGGTACTTCTTCCGCTCCTCGATCCTGATCTTATCGTCCTTAAGGTCTTGTAGCTTCTGCAAGATCAAGTCCTTCCTCTGCTGCTTCATCTGTATATCGATCGTGAGGCCTTCAAGGACTTCGTCTAGGTCTGGCAGGGGCGTAATGCGCGGTGGAGTCGTCGTGCCATCTTCCTCGTCTTCGAGCTTCTGGCCGTATCGTCCCGCGCGGGCTTGAGCTGCGGCAAAAGCAGTATTCCTCTCTTCGTCCGAGTCATCCGTTCCATCGTCGCCTGAACCACCTTCGGCGTCGTTGATGAGTTCTGCCATTTCCGCGCGCCGTCTTCGTCGCGCTTCCTTCTCTGACTTGCGACCAAGCGATATCTTGCCATCTTCGACAAAATCGTCGAAACCTTCGGCTATGTCCTCATCTTCGTGTATGAGACGCGTTTCTCCGTATTTGTCTTTTGGCCGAAGAGAAATCTCGTTCCTGTGCTGTCTAAACTCGTCTTCTCCCTGGTCGTCAGATGCCCACGCGCGGTCTTCGTCGTCGAGGGCGTTCTCTTCATGCGCCAAACGTCTTCTTCGCGCCTTCTTCTCTCGAATCTCGGCTTCTGTGGGGATCGCAGATGACGTCTCTAGCGACGCGACAGTACCGAATTTCGATGCGATATCTAGGGCTTGCGTCTCCTCTTCATCTTCAGCGGACGTATTCAGGTCGCGGGGTGTTGACGGCGTCGAGTTTCGCAATTCTGCTATATAGTCCTTGCTGTATTCAGTTGGGCGAGCGGCTTCAGGTACGAGGGGTGAGCGCGCCCGGAGTTGCGCACTCTTCTCCAGGGCTATGCGACTGAGGTTTGCCTTCTTTGGGGTCACGACGGCTGTGTCGCTTGAGTCGTCGCCATCGTTCGCGTCTTCGCCTGGACCAAAAGACACTCGTAGGGAAGAACGCTTCTTCGCTTTACCAATCGTTGGCCGCTTGACGACTACAAGGCCAGTTAGTACGGAGCCACCTAAGTCGCCAGCTTTCAACGAGGCCTGGAGAGATTCGCTGTGAGTTTCCCCAACGTCAGAAAAGCTGGCAATCGCGACAATCTGTGACTGACCTGTGGGCTTCTGTACTTCGCTCGGCGAGGTGTTCGCGCTGTCGGTGGATGCTTCGTCGTCGTAGCTGCCAATCTTGCGTGCAACGCGGTTGGAACCGGATCGCTTCATCGTTGAGATTGTTGTGTCAGAAATTCCTTTATCAGCAAGGGATCTTGACTTGTATGACTTGTAGAGCAGAAGATAGCATGCGCGCGCACATGTCGTGACTGCCGCCTACGCACGGGCCCTCCGCAAAATCCACGGAGCTATCCCACCATGCGCAGCGCTGCTCTTGCTTGTGAACACCACGCGCGTCTCCAGCTCACGATCGACCCACACGAGCGAAGCCACCTGAAGCCGTTACCAGGAACTTGTACCGCCACATTTAAGCTCAAAACAGTCCACCACCGTCAAGATGCCTCAAGCACAGCCAGAACTCAAGAAGGTGAGTGAACAACGCCGACGCAAGCTTCCAGAACCTAACCTTGTAAAGTACCTCGAGAAGCGCGTTCTCGTCCAGCTCAATGGCAGCCGCAAAGTCATGGGTATCCTCCGGGGATACGACGTATGTACTCGTTCCCCGTCGCCTCTGAATCGAGCTAACACACCGCAGGTCTACCTAAACATTGTACTCGATGAGGCGCTAGAAGAGAAGGCTGGCGGTGAGAAGGTGCGCATTGGCATGGTTGTCATCAGAGGAAATGCCGTGGTCATGCTTGAAGTACGCAATCCCATTTCCTGAGAGGAAAGAAACCAAAGCTAACCAAGGCGCAGGCGCTTGACCGCATCAACCAGGACGTACCCAAGATCGGACGATAGGAAACTGCACGCGCAAGCGAAGGGTAATACAGCGCCCGTGGTACATCGAACGAGACCAAGAGCGAGGCAGAGGGACAGAATCCGGGCATTATAAGGCGCATGGGCGTTTGAGGCGCGAACACTTACGGGTATGCCTCACCAGGCCCCTTTTTACGCCTGCCCATCCAGAGCAATACCATCACGGAGGACATTTGCGGAACATCTATGTTGACATTTTCATATCTACAGGACGATACTGTACCCACATGATACCAGCTGGGCAAATTGGGCAAGGATAGGCTTGGATCTCGATAAAAGAATCTGGTAGAGAAAAGTGCAACGGCGCCCGGCCATTACTATCTTCAGAGTCAGAGAATCAACAAACCACCTTTACAGCTCCAAGTCACGATTTTCGAACAAAAGTTCCAGTGCATTTGAAGCATGATTTACTAACGGGCAGCTTATACAGATGAGAATACTATAATTTCGCCTTCTCGCCTTTGTTAATCTTCTGCACAAGGCCCCATGCAATCTCCGCATAGGGCTTCATCATAGCCCCATACGACTGCGCCTGTTCGCTACTCGCCTGTCTCAATGCATACCGTGCCGCAATTCCCTGCATGATGATAGCGCTCCTGTATGTACTGAAAGCGTCGCCCCAAACAAAGTCTGGTCGCGGATCCCAGCCTGCAACTTCAGAATACCACGCAATCAGTTGCTCTCGGGTAGGCAGACCAGGTGTGGCTCCCGGTTGAAAACCCTTGTGCGCGCGCCCGATAGACATGGCGGTTTCATCCGATGCTGTCACGTAGGGTGCGAGAACGTTGTTCAGATCAGACAGCGGGTGTCCAATCGTGCTCATTTCCCAGTCCAGGATACCAATTACCCTGGGTTCTGTCTTGTGGAAAACGACGTTGTCAATTTTGTAGTCGCCATGTACAAAGGTCGCGCGGTCTTTTGGTTGCGTCTTTGGGTCCTTGAAGAAGGCTACCATTTCGTCTTGGTGTGGTATCTTGCCTACTGGCTCCCCGGTCTCCTTGTCTTTTGCCGAACCTTGTGACTTGGAGATCGTATCGAAGGTTGCGATTTGGCGGTTGTAGAAGCCGGAGTCTTTGCCGTACGAGGCGAGGTTGACAGACGCGGGGGATACGCGATGGAATTTCGCGAGCGTAGTTATGGCGGAGTGCCACCTGGAGGTTATGCATTAGTACTGTCGTCAATTTTCAAGTGCCTTTGAGAGTTCATACATCTTGGTGCGTTCTTCAGCTGTTACACCTGGAATCGCGGGATCCTCGAAGATACGCCCGTCGAGGAAGTCCATGATGTAGAAGTCAGTGCCAATGACGTCCTGGTCCTGGCAAAGACATAGTGCGCGCGGGATAGGAACATCGGTCTTTTCGAGTGCGTGGATGATTCTGTACTCGCGGTCGACTCTGTGCGCAGTCTATATAGTTCTGTGTCAATCACGATAATCGACATTCTAGATTGAACAGCCTCAGCATACCTTTGACAGCAGTTGGCCCGGGGGCTTCTTCCTCATAACATATTTCTTGCCATCTTTATCCGTCAACTGGTACGTCGGATTCGACTGTCCATAGCCAAACTTTCTATTTGTTAGCTTTCATATCCAGCGAACATGCCCAGCTCTCCCGAGCATCAGACAACGCACCTGCTTCACGTCCAGCGGAACCTTGATCTCGGGTACATTGGCAGTGATGTAGCGCTCTAGCGACGCAATGTCGATTGGTTGTCGCACGTTGCCGGCCATGGTGAGAGCGGCTGTTGAGTAAACATGGTGTGGGCGCGCGAGCAGTGATGTAGTTGGCGCGGTTGACCATCACCGAGGCGTGAGCCGAGGCAATTGTGGAACATGGGGAAAGGCGCTCGGTCGGCGAGTCGGGAACTGCGGCGACTCCGCAGGTATCTGAGTCGATGGTGACGGGATTTTACATTTTGGAGCTTGAAGCGTTTCCGAAGATAACTGCAGATGCATGTTATTGGAAAGCTGCTGTTTCCCGTGTACTACCTAGGAACGCAGTCTTAATGACTGAATCCATGTGTTTACCACGTCTGTAGTTCAAGTAGATATGGAAGCCTCGGGGCTGATTGCAATTGTTGGACTGTTCATTCCACGACGTTACCATAGAGCTTTGCACTCGTCTTCATATCTTTTGGTTATTCCAGGCCTCCCACAGCCGATCGGGAGGCAGCCGGGAATCCGACTGCCTCTCCCGCTCCCGCTCCTCCTCACGTGCCCACGCGTTTGCGTTCACTGTTTATGCAGGGCTTAGTCTCTTCGCGTCAACAAAGCAAGGACATGGTTTGGTCATCGGAGATTAAGTACGTGATTTGATCGTGCTTTTGTGGCGTTGACATACTTTGGGATATCAATAGTATGGTCAATAATGACTGGTGATACTAGCATAGTCCAATAGTTCAGGCATCCGAGTATGGGGAAGTTGATTCACATCGTGCGAAACTCGCTATGCTTCAAATAAGCAGTAGCATTGTCTAGTATATGCAGATGAAGGTCTGCTTGTCGCGAGACATAGGACGGCTACATGCTGTCATTGGTACAGGAGTGATTGCTTTTTGTCGGTCCCAATGCACAAGGATCTGCACGCTACCGTCGCGTACCACACCTTGTATGACATACTGTCGCATTTCAGTTGCGAGCTCGAGAATGGGAGATGTTATTCGAAGCAATGTTGAAGTGAAAAGAGGGGCTGCGCGTAGAAAAGGAGGGACGTTTCCCCTGACGTGACAATGCAGATGGATTAGGTAGCGATCGGTTAATTAATCATGCTCGTCAGTCGCCGCTACGTTGGCAGTCCAACCCCTGCGGTACCATCCCATCAAAACAAACACCGTCCAACCTGCCCTGTGCAACTCCAAACAGGTCGACCCTGTCAAACGAGCCGTCCGGTATGGCCTACCCGCATACTCCCAGGCGTCTTGGAGCGCGCCCTGCACTCCACCCCACTGCATCGTCGCCCAATCTCTCGTTGAACGCCAGCAGAAACATCGCACGGCAAGCATCGCTATCCGCATTAGTAGGCGCTGGAGGCTCGCCATCGAACAGGATGGGCGCAGACGGAAAGGACATTGATGTCGGCGACACGGTCGATGTGCCCGGCGGCATGGTCGGTGTCGTCAAGTTTGTTGGCAGTATTCGGGGCAAGCAGGGCGTCTTCGCGGGAGTCGAACTGAACAGGGAGTATGCAGCGCGGGGCAAGAACGACGGCGCTGTCGATGGGTACGCACACACAACGCTTGATATATATGCGCGCGTACTGACTTCTACAGGACACAATACTTCGATACATCCGTCCCCGGCTCTGGTATCTTCTTGCCTGTACATCGCGCTCAGAAACGGGTCTCAGCCGACTCGTCGGACTTCGCACCTGAGCCTACCACGCCTTCATACCATAACAACTTCAGTCTCTCGACTATAGAGAAGCCAAGCTTCAGCCCAGACACCCCCTCTATGCCAAAGCCGAAGTTCTCACAGTCTGTCGGACCCGGAGCCCGCGCGCCTAGTCCCAAGCGGCCGCCCCAGGCCAGACCATCGTACAGACCCGAGTCTCCTCTTCGGAAAGGCAGCCTTGGTACCGGTCCAACACCGGCAAGAAGCGGCGGACTTACACCCTCTGGCTTCTCCAAGAGCGCAATCGGCGCACCCCCACGATTCGCAAGTCCAGCGCCTCCCCGTTACGCCAGCCCTGCACCAAGAGCCCCTCCCCTACAGAAGCCTCGCACACCTGGCCCGCAACGACCCTACTCACGAAGCAGTTCCCGTCTCGGCCACCAAGATACTATCGACGAGGACAATGAGACGACGCCGGTCGGCGCAGCGCGAACCAGCAATGACTCCATGTCAAGTTACAAGCATAGAAGGCCTGGTTCGCGCCTCGGTTCGCAACCAAATGAAGAAGTACAGCGGCTTCAGGCGCTCCTGGACGAACGCGAGAAGCAGCTCAAGGAGCAGGCTGCGTCACTGAGTGAAATGGAAGCAAGTCTGTCAGAGATTCAGAGCCTGATACCAGAAGACGGTATGGATATGGGCTCGGCGCATGGCAGCAGCGAGCCTACTGATGTAGCGCAATTACGAGCACTTCTTAGGGAGAAGAACGATAAGATCGCCATGCTCACGTCCGAGTTCGATGCACATCGATCCGATTTCCGAAGCACCATCGATACCCTAGAGCTGGCCAGCACCGAAACCGAGCGCGTATACGAAAAGAAGGTGGAAGAGTTACAAGAAGAGCTACGGGAATACCAGTCTCGTAGCGAAGATGTCGAGACTGTAGCGATGCAGTTGAAACAACTAGAAGAGCTTGTACAAGAATTAGAAGAAGGTCTCGAAGATGCGCGAAGAGGCGAGGCAGAGGCCCGAGGCGAAGTTGAATTCTTGCGGGGCGAAGTCGAGCGAGGCAGATCCGAACTTCGTCGCGAACGCGAAAAGGCCGCTGCTGCTCTGAAGGGGGCCGGCGCCATGGTCGACGCGCCTCACACACCAGGGCAAAGAGAAGTCGAACAGCGCGACGATGAGATTCGAGGTCTCAAGGCCATCATCCACTCCTTGAGCTCTGGTGGAGGAGATGACCGTGTTCGCTCACCACTATCGCGACAAGCATCAAATGCCGACGCTGAAGAGCTCCAGAGCGCCAAAGCAAACGCAGAACGACTCGAGCGCGAGAAAGAGGAGCTCCGTGGTCTCGTAGAGCGCAAGGCCTACAGAGAAGAAGAACTGGAACGTGAGCTCGAGGCGCTAAAGAAGCAGCTCGGCCTCGCAGAGCAACGCGAAAGCGTCATCAGCAACGGCCTCTCCGAATACACGGCAACCCAAGAAAAACCCTCAGAGCGCGACTCAAAAGACACCGTCGTCAATTGGCGTGAACCACCACAGCAGACTCGCCGCGATGCACCCCCCGCACTCTCCGTAATGCCAGAGTCCGACGGCCGCTCCTCCGCCAACAGCAGCCTCCTCTGGTGCGAGATCTGCGAAACAGGCGGCCACG